ACCTGATGTGTGTCCACTGATAAGTTGATGATACAAGTCAGTAAATAAGTCATTTGCATTAGCAGTAAGTCAGTAGGTCAGTGGCTTTGCCAGATTAACAGGAGTCAATAACTAGTAGAACATTGGTTTATAAATTTTCTTCATTTCTTTACAGGCGTTCTTTTATCTTCACTACCTGATCTTGGGTCCAGTAGAAGTGTTAGTTGTTCTTTACCTTTTATGGGAAGAGATAGGAGTGTCATCACTTGCAGGGATGGGGCTGTTGTTGTTGTTAGTTCCACTACAAGTCAAGATGAGCTCATTTATTATGTATCTCAGGTAAATTAACATGACTTTACAATCAGCGAAAATACCTTGTTATCTTTGACCTCCAGTTGAGTTTGGCTGCCCAGAAGGCTGTCACTTGCTTACAACCCACAGTGCATGACAAACAAATTATTGCAAGTTGTTGGGAGTAGGGTGGGGTGGGGTGGGGTGTAATGAGGTTAAAGACTATATAACTCACCAACCCTGTGATAATGAGTCCAGGAATCAATTCTTCCACCATAGTGACGAGAAGCAACTTTATGCACCAGCTCTTTGAGCCATCAGTACACACTACACACAATTCCCTTATAACAGTGAATGATATATTCCCAATTCATTTATTCACGTTGTTCAATTTAAGGCGAGAAGCATTGCATGCTATAGATGCTCGCACCAAGGTCATGCGAGAGATCATATCAGGGATTCGTGTGGTCAAGATGTACACAAGTGAAGATTTACTAAGACAGCTGATTGGTGATTTAAGAAGGTATGTACTCACTACCCTTGCTGGAAGAACCCCAATATGCATGCTAAATGCGCTTAGATCAACCATTCTTATTCTCATGCTTGCATGTCAAAATTCTCCCAAATTTATCTGTTTGTACCTAGTGCCTATAGACAATATTATGATGATAGAAAATGCACACTTCAAGAACTCGTGAAATGATTTGTTAAACATAAATATTAAAAAGTAATTTGCTGGAAAAATAAGAGAATTTCGAGAATCTACTCTTGGTAGCCAAGTCATTCAGTGAAAGTAGGTTGAATCGTATTAAGCACTATTTGTGGTTGAATGAAACACAATTTGTTGACATGGAACAAGCATAACTCAGTGATACAGCCAAGTGTTCTTGATCATGATCTATAACGTTAATGTATTTTTATCTTTTACAGGAAAGAGATTACTTGGTTCAAGCGCCTTTCTATAGGGAAATCACTCTTCACATCTCTGTTCTTCAGCAGCCCCGCCCTGATCAGTTTCCTGACCTTCATGACTTATGTTCTTGTAACAGACAATAACCTGAATGCTTCCAAGGTCTTCATGTGTGTGGCTCTGTTTAGCTCTATTCGTGTTGTCATGACAATGATGTTCCCTGCTGCTGTGGCTGCTATCGTTGAACTGCGTGTATCATTAGAAAGAGTACAGGTATATTTGTCAGTTGATGTTCACCTCACGCTCAGTCACATGGGGGTAGATCCTTTTTTTGTTTTGGGGTATGAAATGCGAGGTCTGATCAAATTCATTTGAATGTCGCAGTACTCCAGCTTCAATTTCTCTGTTGCTCAGGGTTGGCCTCAATTTGTGTAGAATATTCATGTGTTCCAGTGAAGGTCTGTGGAATTTCAAACTGTTTGTATTGTTGAAGTTCTGCTTTCTTCAGTTTACCATTGGTATTTGTGAATATTTGGACACTGAAATGAGGCAACCCTGAGTATGAGTCTGAAATCAAGGAATATAGTAGTTATCTGCAACTTGAAAATGGTCTGTTCCAAACGTTTCCTGGAACTGGTATTGACTTCCTGCAACATTTTTATGACCTTCATTTGTTGTTTGTCTGTAGGATGTTTTAATGCTGGAAGAGTTATGTCCTTCTTGTCGAGGGTTAATATCAAGTCAAGAAAAACCAAACCCTGGAGAATACAGCATCTCTGGTGAAAATATCACAGCATCGTGGACTAATGTATGTTGGATCTCTGGTAGTTGTAGGATCATTATCTTCAATAGACCTTTTGGGATCGCTTGGAACATAATGTTTTCCCATGCGTCATTCCCTTGAATATGATTTCTTTGTATATCGAAAACAACAACCATGTGCCATTCCCTTGAGTATGATTTCGTTTATCGGCAACAACAACCATGTGCCATTCCCTTGAGTATGATTTCGTTTATCGGCAACAACAACCATGTGTCATTCCCTTGAATAGGATTTCTTCTAAGATAATGATATGTGATTTATCTTTAGCTAGGTCTACTAACGAATAGACCGTTTTCTCAAGGTTGCGTGCACATCCAACTTGACGGGTCACAAAATTGAAAAACGCAAGTTCAGTAAAATTGAGAAGCCAGTTTTACATTTAAAGAGGAGAATAATCGATTTTATGAATTCTTATCGAAAAAGTTTATAGAAATGTATGTTAATTCTCATTATAAAGCTCCTGTTTTGGTATCGTGGCCCGTCGTGGGTTATGGCACAGTGGAATCGAGGTTTATTTTTGGAATTAATTAGATCGATATGGGTTCGAATCCCACCGTGTACAGATAAAACTTGTTAATTTTTTTATTATCTTTAAATTCTTTTTCGGAGTTAAACTCTCAATACTGGTAATGTTTTAAAAAAATACATGATTTCTTGTTTCTTATATGTTCCATTGACATTATCAGCTTAGCAATCTCGACCCTAAAAGTAGAGCTCTACTTTTTTTAAGTTTGAAAGAGTATTTATTCCACTTGATTTTTCAATATTTCTATATTGCAATGTTCTATGTTCAAGTGTTACTGGTGCTACTGACCGTCTACCCAAACGAATTGCCCAGTCCTCGCGCGACAAAGAAGGGCCCTCGTTTCGTGTTGTCATTTTGTTGTGTTGTTGTCAACATCGTATTATTTTGAATAATTTTGTTATTATTTACGTCATTTTTTTTTCATTTGTTTGTTATGTCCTTGTGTCTAAACCAGTTTCATCAAACCACATTCTATTCTCAGCCTTCTTGTTGTTTCAACAGGATTTCAACAGACCAACCCTTCGTAACATCAGCTTCAGCGTGGGCCAGGTATCACACATCCTTGCTTCAGAACTTCTCGTTCTTTCCATGACCATGCGTTTCTTTTGGCCTCCAAGGTTCCCTGTCATCTATTTCTGATTCTGATATTTTTCATATTTCTCTCTCTATCACAGAACCAAATGTTGGCCGTCATCGGTGAAGTTGGATCAGGCAAGGTTGGTATCTCATACAGCGAAGTTGGTCCGAAGATGTATCGATTACGTACCCTAGCTTGCAGTTAGAAAAATCATAAAAATGATCGGTTTGGTATAGCCATACATTATTTTCCAAAATTATGAATGTCGTAGCTCATTCTAAACTGAGTATAGAGGTATTGCATGTCAGTAATGTTTTCTTTTGTTTCAGACGTCCTTCCTGCAGGCCATTATAGGTGAGCTGCCCTTCAAGGAAGGATCCATGAAAGTCAATGGAAGAATAGGTTACGCCTCACAGCAAGCCTGGGTCTACAACGGGTCTGTTCGGGAAAATATCATATTTGGTAAAGATTACGATGAAAAACGCTTCAAGGAAGTCATTAAAGCCTGTGCGCTGGAAAGGGTAAATATTAGGGCTACGGAAATGTAAGATAGTGTCCTCAAAACTAAGTGATCTTGTTTTGTTGATTAGGACTTGAAGTTGTTTGCTGAGGGGGACATGACGTTGGTGGGTGAAAGAGGAACTTCCCTCAGTGGAGGACAGAGAGCCAGGATAGGCTTGGCAAGGTGAGGTAGATAACTGTCACCAGAGGGTAACTAGGCGCGCAAACGCACTCGGGATAGCATTGGGTCCTTCTTTTTCTAATGTAGCTTATCAGCGTGAGATAACYGTAACTAGACGGAGAATGGGTAACTCACCACTTCTTAATGTTTATTAAGGAAATCATGTCGTTTTTCCTATCCCGGTAACGTTTTGTTTTCCATTTTCAGAGCTGTGTACTCAGATGCTGATATCTTTCTGTTGGATGATCCGCTCAGCGCCGTGGATATTCATGTTGGAAATCAATTGTACAAAAGGTACGTAAAAGGGAATAGGTGAATGGTCGATTATGAGCCAATCAACTTTACGTATGTACAATGCTAGACTTGTTCTTCTGGCACAATTTGTTTCCCATTCTAAAGCACACAGTGAAGAATGAAATGTCTTGGATGTTGTTATGACAAGCAGACGTTCTCTAATGATCGTTTGATTGCTAACATCGTGTCATTCTGCTAGATGTATCCGTGGTTATTTGTCATCCAAGGCTCGTATTCTGGTTACACATCAGTTCAGATACATCAAGGAAGCTGATCACATTATTGCTCTATCAGAGGTATGACTGTGGGATTGGGGGGGGGGGGGGGGGGGGGGGGGGGGGGGGGGGGGGGGGGGGGGGATGGGAAGGGTGATGGTTACTGTGAGAGGGGAGAATAGGATGATTGCCATATTTGTGAACTGAGGTTAAGAGGATGATAGCTATACTGTTGGAAGGAAGGAGTGAGGATGAGGTTTACATTGCTATATCATTGATATTATAACAATGTATATAGTGTTAACGTTTTATTCTGCATTTTAGGGTGAAATCGTAGCTCGAGGAAGCTTTACCGATATTCGTATGTCAGGAATCGATCTGATCTCCATGTGTCCCTTGAAAAAATCCATAGAGGAAGAAGAAGAGCTGCAGGAGATCGCTGAGACTGTGACACCCAAACCTGAACTACGTCATCGTCGTCATAGTAACGCTAGCACATCTTCCTCCAAGTTCATGGATTTGATTCGTCCCCAGGCTCAGTTATCACATCATGTGACTGAGATCCTTGAAGAGAACGAAGGTGAAACTGGTGCATTCCAAGTACCTGTCTATGTAAGTATCCTCTGTGGGGTTACTGGTGAAGAAAGAATAATATTGAAGGGTTTGGTACGTGATGTCAATTTAGCTTGATTTTGTTTGTCTTTTTTGGCAGGAAGAAGAAATAAAACCCAAAGAAGAAACCAAACATGAGGGAGCTGTTTCCATAGCAACCTATGTATCTTACTTCAAGTCACTCCACAACGCCTGTGCCGCCATCTTTGTTTTATTTCTGTTTGTCTTGGCGCAGGTATGTCTAGAGGTCCTATTCAGTTTTCCTTCTGTTCCAAAGCAGATTGCGGAATAATATTATTTGCAACAAACAGTCACGTGCTGATATATCACTTTGCTAACGAATCATTCAGCTCAAGGTCCCTTGGGGAAGGCTCTGCTGGATGGCTTCGTATCTTGAAGTCGGAGGTATCTTTTAAGGGAAAAAAGTATTTTGAAAAAGGTTTTCATTGTTTTTGTAGGTTCTTTCTATGCTTGCCGATTGGTGGTTGTCGTATTGGTCAGTAAGACTTAACTAATCTATTAGCTTAACATCATTTTTTATTTTCATTTCCTTCCCAGTTCCACCGGTTTCCCATTCCTATTTTAATCTTATTTCATTTCCAATTAATTAATTTTACAGCATTTCAGTTTGTCCTTCTCATTCCTGATTTAGGTCTGACATAGAAGAGAAATACTTCATAACATCTTCCAAACCAGATCGTTCTTTGTATCTGGGAGTCTTTGCTGGTTTTTCCTTCGGTCTGTTGATCGTCACGTTGGCTCGTACTCTTATCTTCTACACGCTTTGCCTCATCGCTTCGTGTCATCTTCACAACAGAATGTTCAGTGCTTTAATCAGGGCTCCAGTTTACTTCTTCGATAATAATTCACTCGGTAAGTTTTGTTTTTTCTTTTCTAAAAAAGATCTTTTCCTTTATTCGAGGGATTTCCTCATAGCCTAACACGCTAAGTTGCAAACAGCCCCGAATGAGGTTATGTGGGTTTGATAACATTTGAAGGGGGTTTTAGACATGACAGCATACATATACAATGTCTCAATATGTAAGTCACAGCTCTTCCATTTACTAAGTTCATATGTTGTTGTGAAGGTTTCTTGACTCTCTATCAATCCAGGTCGTATTCTGAACCGTTTTTCCAAAGACATCAATTACGTGGATGAAAGTCTTCCCACTACTCTAATGGATTTCTTCCAGGTATGTAATACCAAGTATGTAATGCAAAGCTTGCGTGAATGGAAAAATGGTCTCGCACCGCTGTGATCGTGGGTTGGTCCCTGCGGGTCGCGTACATTTATTTGACCTAACTGGTTGTCTGTCTTCGATAGTTTTTCTCCTGTTTTGCTTTCTCTGGCCGAGAGCGCTTTAGTGATGGGCCTTTGTGAGAGGCTAAGCATTCATTCCCTGCATGATCGACGTCAAATAATCTTCATTTACTTTACAATGTTTTTACTTGACGTCAATGTATTCTCTGTTTTCCTTTCAAGACTGCCTTCATGACCATGGGTGTCATATTCTTGGTCGGTAGTAAAAGTCCCATCTGTTTTGCTATCGTTCTTCCAATATTGATCTTCTTCGTGATCGAAAGAATGTACTACATAAGAACCGCCAGAGACCTGAAGAGACTAGATGGAGTTAGTAAGTAACCACAGGCATCCCAAGTACAGTATTAATTATCATACCACAGGGACCCCAAGTACAGTATTAATTACCATACCACAGGGAACCCAAGTACAGTATTAATTGCCATACCACAGGAATCCCAAATATAACGAAATATTTTATATTTTTCATCAGCGCGCAGTCCCTTATATGGTCATTTTTCCACCACACTACTTGGCCTGGACACCATTCGTGCATTCGGTGCCAAAGACGCCTTCTTTCACGAGTTCCACCACTATCTTGAAGTAAACACTCGTTCAATATTTGGTTACATCTCTGTGTCATCCTGGTTGACGTTCAGGCTCGAGCTCCTCTCCGTCATCTTTGTTTCCTTTGTGGCTCTTATTTCACCTGCTGTTAAATCTTGTAAGTTTTGACAATATTTATAACATGTTGCACCTATATGTCAGCCATTTAGAAACGTAACCAGGCCTTTGTCAGGTATTCATTGTACCTTCTCAGCCACCGAAACAAAGCGGTTTGCCCAGAGTGACATTTCATTATGTAAATGTTTGAACTGACTCCAGTCCCTCCTTCTTAATCAACCTTTAGCCCTTAGCCCAGGAGCTGTAGGACTTATCGTCACATATGCAACTAAACTATCGTCTGTTTTGGCCAAAACCATCAAGAAGAGCACAGAAGTAGAAAATATGGTATGTTAGTCTCTCCGTGGTATCACATTATGTTTTATCTTATCTGTATAGGTGAGTGGACTACACGCTTTCCAAAAAAAATGGTTTGAAAAAATGTCGAATTTTCGGCTTTTGAAAGGGTATGGATAATCATATTGTAGGACTAAAACATACCCAACTTTTAAAATATGGTTTATGCTTCTAGATTCGGAATTTTGAGAGGTTTTTTATTTTGGAAAATTTGGAACCGAGCATGCGTGGACTGGACTGGACTTCGGTTAACTGGAGTGTGCGGAACGCAAAATGGTTTTAACGCCTAATTTCCAGTGTCTTTCTTATAATTTGTATTCTACAATACATATTTAGTAATTTCATCTTAAATATTTGCAAAAAATCAATAATTTTTTCAAAATACAATTAGAATGGTTTATTTGATCGGCGATAGCCTTTTCGTGTTATCTCGCTCAGCGCGTAGCAATAAAAGCAGTGGTAGAATATCTTCTAACTTCCTTATTCCCCTTGTTTTGTGTTGCTGTAGATGACGTCAGTAGAACGTATAGTTGATTATTGTAACCTTGAATCAGAGGCGCCCATGGAGACCGATGTCAAACCACCCAAGGGATGGCCTGACAAGGGAGCAATCAACATCACCCACATGAACTATTCTCATCACAAGGACAAGCCAGTAGTACTTCACGATATTACCTTGCAAATAAAACCTGAAGAAAAGGTAGGCAGTTTCCATTGAATTGTGGGTCACATGTGACGTCATCTCCTGTCACGTGAGCGGATTCTAATGGAGAGTCTACTCCAGGAATTTGTCCTTGTATACTGTGTTCTGGCCAATCTCGTTTGCCCCAAGTAATTCATCATTATTGTTTTGTTTTGTGGCATAGCTTGGCGTACTTGGTCGGTCAGGCGCTGGGAAGTCCTCGTTCATCTCTAGTTTATTCCGTATGGCAGAACCTTCTGGTTTGATAGAAATAGACGGAGTGGACATCAGCAAAATAGGTCTTCGGAATCTACGGAATGCAATAACAATCATTCCCCAGGTAGGCTTGGATGTAATATAGCTCTTGTGACGAGGGAACGTTGGCATCTTTTCGGAAATTTTCAGCTCGTTGACCCATTGATGTTCACATGTCATGGATTTTATTCCAGGAACCGGTTCTTTTCTCTTCAACTTTGAGAAAAAACCTTGATATTACGTTGAGTAAAGAAGATGTATATATCTGGTCAGTCTTAGAACAGGTACGTCACAAATCATCCTTCATGCAAGATGTACAGTTGTAAGGTGTATTGAACATTTCCTCGTAAGTGTTCGGCAATAAGAAATATGTAATTCTTATTCTATTTGTTACTCCATTAGGTCCAACTAAAAGACTACGTTGAACGTTTTCCTAACAAACTGGAAACGAAAATTAACGGTTTTGGCTTGCAATTCAGCGTTGGTCAGCGGCAGTTAATATGTTTGGCACGCGCCATTCTTTGCCACACCAAAATCCTGGTCATCGATGAGGCGACAGCCAACGTGGATTCCAGGTAGTTTTTTTGTTTTTTCTTTAAAATGTGCAAAAAAACTAAATCTTTTACCTACTCGTTTTACAAAGATTAGCTTTTGCACTTGTGATATCAATGACTGTGCCAGCCTCTGACATGCGCGGATCGTTATTCAGTGTTTGTTTTTCACCCCCAAAAGTACGTCGTACTGTATCACTGAACCATATTTTTCATGACATGCCAGGACGAGTAAAATCATTTGGGACGTCATTAATTGTCGGTTCAAGGATTGTACTGTTATCACCATCGCGCATCGTCTCTTTCCTGTCATGCAAAATGACAGAGTTGTGGTAAGTGTTCAATATGTCCATCTATCAGTCAGTTGGTCCGTCTGTCCGTCTCTCAGTCAGTCAGTCTATCAGTCAGTTCGTCCGTTCATCTATCTGTTCGTCCGTCATTTAGTCAGTCGAGCTATCAGTCAGTTCGTCCGTCCTTTAGCCTACAAGCAGTCTGTCCGTCTGTCCGTCAGTCAGTCTATAAGTTAGTTCATCAGTCTGCTAGCCAGTCAGTCAGTCCTTCCGTCCGTGATTCAGTCAGTGATTTTTAAACAAGCTGATTAATTTTGGCTGTTGTATTGGACCAATAGTCCTAACAGAGCGATACTCCCATCGAGAAGAAAACAAAATAATCAAATTGGAATCTGTGAGTTAATGTTTTTCCGGAGGAAGCGTAGTATGGAACCAACAAATAACATGATATCAAAGCCAAAACCACAGCTGTGAGATGCACCTCTCGTTTGATCAGTGCTTCGTACTTTTGTTTGAAGGTTTTAGATGCTGGTTACATTCGAGAACTAGATTCACCACATCGCCTTCTGCAAAACCCCAGCAGTTATCTGTCTCACGTTGTTAATGACGCAGGACCGCACGAGGAGAAAAAGCTACGAGAATTGGCGAAGATAACACACGACAAGAAAACAAAACCTGGACCAGTGAACAGCACAGTAATCGCGCCCGAAACTAGGAACACTCAGGGACAACAGGAAAAACAGAAAAAACAGGAAAATGATGTGAAAGAAGAGGTATCTCTGACAGATATTCCAGAAATACGAATCGATACTGGTTCGTCGTATGTTACATCCTTATAGTTATTCCAGAAATACGAATCGATACTGGCTCGCTGCAGTTTCGATTGCACTTCATTTTGCATATTTTTATGGTGTATATATTATCTTTTGCAAGTAGAATCGTCTGAAATCTTTCGGCATGTAAAAGAAACCACCAACCCAATATTGGTAACCATGTATTTCAACAAACTTGGTTGTTAGAATCACGAGTTGTAAGAATTATTTTTAATAAACTTCCTTTGTGTTTTATAGCATTCCGTGCGTGATATACATAACATCCACTTCACAACAAATAATTCATATTAATTGTCACGTCATGAAATAAAAACCGCGATAGAATTAACGAATAATCCCGCCCTTTTTGGTTGCAAAAATCTTTCTAGCCTTCACATGTGATGCAAGGTTTCTTCAAGGTTTTTCTATAGCGCGTTGACTGATAATCATTCTTGCTCGCCAATCATGTGACTTGTGAGAAGGAAAAATACTGATATATTGACTAAATTTGATTCCAGAACTGACACTTGATATTCGAAAAACATGGTTTCTTTCTTTGTGATTCACAATTACACACGGCTGTTGGCCGGAGCGTATTGTGACAGCCAAAGGGCAAACCCGCAACAACAAGCCATCTTGTATTACATAACATTATTTATTTATTTCATGTGGTGATGTTCAATCTGTAAATTAATGTCATTTTTGATATCATGAAATATAAATGTAATGTTCAATAATGTATATAATGTTCCATAGTTATTGGATTATCTCACTAACAAGGTTCTACGCTTCGTACGTAATCTTCATGTCCTAAGAGAGATAACCATTATGAGTAAACCATCTCAAAACCGTGCCTTCTCGCCTATCTTGAGCTCGAGGTTAAAGAAGATCGAACAAAGGCGAAGGGAAAAGGTTGCGCGCTGGTTAAATATTCATGGCAACTGAGTGTCGAGTCTGCCTTTCCTTGAGCCTTTTACCACGCAGTAACAACCACATGGTTATATTCAAGTATTTAAGCTTATTTTCTAACAAGCTGAATTCTACGCAGACCGCAACTAAGGCCAGTAACCATCTGCGTGTTTTTTTTTGGTTTTAATCCTCACAACTCTGCATGCAATACGCTTGTTTGAGCGAGGATATAAATAGCGGCCACATCTACCAAGATACTGTTCTTGCTGAGAAGTCTGTCATCTTTGAAGTTAAAGAACTTTTGTTTCAGCATGTCCAGCAAAGTCTTAACACTTTTGATTTTGTTGATGATAACAGCAGTGCTTGCTATCCCGTTGGGGTTCAAGGATGGCGTTCAAATACCTGGTAAACAAAATGTATAGTTTCTTGTTTTATTCATTAAATACGCCCATTTGTGTTTTAATTATATTTTATTTCTGGTTTCAAAGTTCCTTCGTAGATACCGATTTTTTCTGTCTTTATTGGTAAACAAAGAAATAGCATTTAAGGCCAGAATGGCCACTGATTCCATTAAATTTCATAGATGGTAAAAAAAACTTCATTAGTCTACACTGGTGCGCGGCAGAGCCTCTCCGTGATCGCATATTTTTCAGTTTTGTACTGTTTCTTTATTCTTATCGTTTTTTCTTCCTTTTTCTATAATTAATCTTTTTAAGTCTGTATTTTTATTTGCAGTTTTGTCATACTTTGCCTGCCCGGTGTCAAAACAGCTTTACAGTGTTGTAAGATACCATTCAATCTTTAACCGTTTAGGAATAGAGTGTAAAAACATTGGGATTGTTTATTTGGACACTGTACAATATAACGAAATCTATTTCCTGAGTTTATTGAAAGGATACGAGTAAACACTAAACAAAACCATGAAGGATGGAAGGAAAAAGACTAGACTCCGTTCGCCTCACCCTGCGTTTGTCAGGAAAATATCTTCAGTAAAGACAAAACTACTATTTTTGAATATTTGAAAATGTTGATTTGGGTAACAATTGAATTATTTCATTTATACTTTTGAATACGTTCTTTAAAAATGAAAACAATTCGAAACTCGATTTAACTGAGGCTTTAGAAGTGTGGGGTCTATCACGCAATCAGTGATATCTCAACTTCTCTAGCTTGGCGTCTAATTGATTTGCCCTTTCGATGGATTCTTATTCATCAGGGAGAGAAATTACACGAGGGGGGAAGGGAAGGGGGACACACGTCGGCAAGTTTTTCCCAATAAAGATGAAGCGATCTGATTGGTCCCTTCAAGCCGACATTTCTTTGTCTGCCATGATAGCTTATAGAAAAGAACCCTTAATAACCAACATTATACTACTTGACTATTCTTTACTCATTTTATTGTTTCTATCGCATCATCGTAGATCAATACAAGCAGAAGCAGGAGGAAGAAGACGCTTGGTTTCTGTCGTCTAAACGAGAAACAGACCAGGAAGAACAAAAGTGTAGCGGCATTCCATGCTACTTATGCAGGAACTACCCATGCTTGATGACGTGCTGTCGTTAATCACCTCCCAAATATACCACTTCTTGGATTAATATAACCTGATATAATTTAATAAAAAGATAAATAGCATATATAATTAATTTTGCGTATTTCATTTACTTGGATTCGAATTCATCTACTTCCTAAGAGCAGAATAATTTGTACGACTGTTAACAAGTAGCCGTACTGTTCCGTGCATGTGTCATATACATGTCCAAGCATTCTGAGATGGTGAGTTGAACACACGAGTAGTGCCACGAGCCCCCTGGCCCAGAGATACCGGTGTCTTGAACCATACGAATATTAAAATCAATGACACCTTATTAAAACGAGACAGATGTTCTAAGGCTGCCGATAATGTGKTTTTTTTTCAGGTGCCTGTCCCTTGAACGCAGAACCCCATCTGGATGACAGCCCTGGATCTTTTCCTGCTAGCGCTGTATTTTAGATATTTGCTCCGAATAAAATCTTTAAGAACACAATTATAAAAACTAAAGCTTGATCAACTGAGGTTTTTTCTCGCTAAAATAACCCACAAACAGAAACAACAAATCGCCGGGTCAGAAGAGCTAAGTAAACACCTTCTATCCATACTCTCTTCTCTACTGAGGTCTCATACCATCAAAGAATCCACAAACCATTACTAGTAGTACAAGCTAGTACAACACTAGTCCAAGAATATTTGTAAATCAAATATATTTTTTTAGAAGCCTTGACCGCCGCTGGTCCTAACCATGTCGTACGAGGGTGGATGCTGATTATTTTAAATGATTTGGCTGATTGGATTGGCTTATCTTGACACCTTTTGCCATGTTTCCAGGTGAACTGATGCGATGTATAAAGATTCTAGTACTTAAATGCATGATTAAATAATCGAAAGAACCAAACTTTCCTCCTTGATTTAAGGTTTGCTAAATCGCATTTTCAAATGATCAATAAAAAGAGGGAAAGTGAGACTGCAGCTGCTATATCCAGACTTGCTAATGACTTAGTGACCGCAAACTTAATTCATTCACTTTCGTTATTATTATTTTGTTCTATTCATTTGATTCTTCATCGTATATCAAAGAAGAAGAAAAAAATGTTAAACAATTTTTTTTTAAATTTTTCTTCATATTTTCAATTCTTCATTAATATTCTCCATGGTTCTTTTAAATACTCTCATTTTAATTGTATTTCCTTGATTGTATTCTTTATTTATTTATTCTAATTATCAATTCAATATCGCAATTGTCCTTTATTTTATTTATTCCTTCTGCCTCGTCATATATGTCATCATTCATCTTATAAGTTTGTTTTACTTTTTCCTTTCCTTCGAGTATTCTTTAGTACAAGAATCAACCCCAGTCCAACTGCTTGCAAACTTGTCATTATAAATAAAGACCTGCTTGCTTTGAAGATTAAATYTGACGCGGGCACAATAGTTTCAATCATCAAATATCAAATTCCTCCTCTCGCGTGAAATGAGAAAACTACGGGTTGACAAACACTTGTGATCATACTGAGCACTGAGTTTTATAAGTGATTACTTAAGCACTGAAAACCCTTCGTAGTAGAGACAGAGAAATTCCCTTTATTACACCTGTATTGTTTAGATTTCCGCGGGGGCCTGTTTATAACCGAACAACAAGGTTCGCAGTACGGAGCTTCGCACGGAAGTCCCTCAACTGAAATCCGAGTATCTTCCTGTTATACCTTTAAACACCTACACTGAATCGCCGCCAAGGAAAAAGAAACCTGATAAAGATATATTCTTTATTGCCTGATTTTATAACAGCACTACTATGAGTTTTGGTTGGCTTTTGCAAGTTTGTGCAAGTTCTAGCGCACCGAGAGAACTGTCTCTTTCGTCAACGATCATTTCGTTGGTTTTGTCTCTGGTAGCTTCCCCAAGTAACTTTCTTTTCTGTTTAGCCATGTATAAAGATCCTCACAAGAATCTCAGGACGCCATTTAATATTTTTATCCTCAACATTGCAGCTGCCGATTTCGTCCAAGGCTCCGCAGTTCTTCCTTTATCTGCGGCCTTCCACGGGTTGGAAGGAGTCGGGAAGTTTTCACCACAGTTACTAAGAGCGTTGCACTTGTTTTTCTTCATCTCTTGTACGGCGTCTATCATTAGTATTGCTGCGTTGGCAGTTGATCGTTGTATTTCAGTGTCGTATCCCTTGAAATACAGGTCAAAGTCAACTTACTCTAGATCTATTCGAATATCTATCATAATCTGGTTCATCTCGGCTGGGCTGTCATTTCTCTACCTACAGGTGGATTTCATCTTGTACATTTTCGTATTTGTCAACAGCGTGATACTCCTAACCGTTATCATTCTGCTCTTCGTTCAATTCTGGATCGGCAGGCGCCTGAAAAAGAATCGCGAAAGGCGGGAATTCCGACGACCGTCATTGACGAACAGTATCGCGAGCATGCACGGGAGAAATTGGAACAAAATGGTTAAAAGAGACGCGAAAGTGACGAGGACATTTTTTTCTATTCTGATGTTGTTTCTCCTCCTCATGGCTCCTTCTTTCATTTTTGCTTATCTCCTCAATTTCTGTCCTTCGTGTGATTGCGTTTCGTACCATGTTTTCAGAGACTTACATTTCCTTTTCGTTCTGTTTCCAAGCTCGGTCAACCCTTTTTTATTTGGTTGGCGTCTGCCGCACTTTAGGCGAACCTTACGTACTATMATCTCAAGAAGATCAAGAAATGTTGGTCAGGATCGTAGCGCGGGGCAGCAACTGGAATCGTCCACCTTTGAGGAAGATAACAGTTGCAAGTTTTACAGAATTGTAAATACTAATTGTAGTAGTGCGCATAAGATATTTGTTATTCGTAGATCGAAATGCGGGCAGTGGAGCCCAGCACGCGATCCGGTCTGTGATAACATTTTAAATGGCACAAATAAAACAACAGATGGAGTGTTAAACAAGAGTTACCAAAGATACCCAGAAAAAGAAATGTCTGACCTGCCAGAACCGCAAGATTTGCCACCAGAGGCATCAGATACGGGCATCGCAAGGGATTACCGTTTGACTTCTGCCGACCTACTCACTGTGCAAATGGATTCCTCTTTTTGAAATAGTGGTTTTAAAAATATAATAGTGAAATGTGAACTACGACAAGAGACGTGATACATCCAAACAAACTGCTTTTTTCACGGAAGTTTTACATTTCTTCAGTATATAACATTTCTTATTTTCATTTTTGCTTTTAATTTGTGAGCTGATTCTAATGCTATAATGTGTTTTTGCCGACTGCTTTGTGCAGTAGATTAGCCCATGATCGATCCGTGGCCAGTTGAGTGTTTTAAACCATTCGAAAGTGATGAGTCAGTAAGAGACTCATCGTGTAAAGCATCCATCTACCACACGCACTGAATAATGACTAGGCAAGGAAGTAAGCAATAAAGAGAAAACTGTCAGATAAAACAATCAAAGTATGTCAGTCGTGTAAACAATGTTAAAAGTTAATCAAGCCGCGGGTTCCTCATAATGTCTTACTGCGAAGAATCATTAGAAAATTAATTTTCTAAGGATATGAAGTGTGTTTTGTGTTATAGCCATTTTACACTGACATGTCGTCGATTAGAGGCGATGCCTAGGGATACGAGACTACTACTGTTTACCACATCAAATAGTGTCAAATGTAATGACGTCATAAAGGACAATTAAGTAAAAAAGAACTTGGAAGCATTCCTCGTTGACATATCAGAATAACATAGTGAAAAGCTTAATGCTTTTTCCCCGCAAGGATTTTCATTATCAACCAGGACTCACGTAGCGTTTAAATAACTGGATTTGTTTTCCAAATTGTAACAATTTTTCTGATGAAAGAGGGTTTTGTTAGACATAAGTGTGATAGAAACGTCAGATCCCATTTGCCACTGACATTTGGACCAACTACCGTTTAATAGACTTAAGGCTGTCCAGCCGTCCGTTGTACGTTATGAGAGACCAGTTTGTTACTTTACTTCTTTGCAGTATAGGGTTATTACTCAAAGTAACCTCAACAAAAAAGTCGAGATTTACCAACTGAGCGTAGTAATCAAGCTAGTATTCGGGCGCGCTTCTCAATTTCATTCATGAGCTTGCGCACATTTTGGTCTGTGTACAACTGAGAAAACTAAAAATCAATAATGAGGGAAAATTGGTGTCATTTTCTCGATTCTATTTACAACTTGCTCGRAGCTTGGGAGCTCAGGAAATGAAATTTAGTCATATTTTTGGCTACGTGTTTTGGCGACCGATGGATTAGAAACAAATCCCTATTCTCATTTATTTCTGCACTAATACGAGTGCGCAAAGTGCATTTTCTAATATTCTTAGTTCGTTTCTGCTTTAGGGCATAGAAAATAGGCACTCATATTTGATAAGTGAGAAGAATAGGTCAGCTTCCTTGATTTGTTTATTTTAGCATTCTAGTATTTTTCCTTGAACAATATTTTTTGGTCATTTCCAGCTCGGATAATATCAATTAGTTTATATTTGGGTTGTGTGCGTCAAGTTCCCAGGGGCTAGGGGCCTCTTTCCAAGGAGCATGGGACAAGCCAATCAAAACGCTTGTAATATAATGGTTTGAGATGACGTCAAGTTTCCTGCAAGTACTGTAGTCTTTGAGAAGAATATTATCAAAGTCTGACATCTTTATTGAAAAAAACACCTAAGAGTATTTCGTTTTCTCCTATATCTGCTGTTATACGCTTCAACAGAACCAAGGCGAAGCATAGACTACGAGAAATATGAGTCTTAATCGTTTGTTTTCGCCGAGGTTAACTCGACCAGTTGCTGCTCTTGGCCAAGTAGGATTTGGAAAAACATGTCTACTGTCACGTAAATTAGAACGAGGTAAATTCTTCACTTAGGAATCCTTCTTCTTATTAATGCAGTTGTGGATCCTAGATGTCCTTTCCTTCGTTCTGATTTGTCTGATTTAGCCATTTATTTTTTGTTGTTGATGTTACTAGGCGAGCGATCGTTCTATGATTATTCGCCTGAGCCCTTCCATCCACTACAAGGGCGAACACCGGCTTGGAAATCACCCGATGAAGCAGTACAAGTAATCAAATCTGGTAGGCTTGCACATAATTATTCTTCTTTCTTAATATTATGCTTCATGTAAACTCTGGTTTAAAATTGTTCCCACTGAAGTTAATAACCCTTAATTGTGCCGGCTATGTTCTTAACATGTCTTACGACAGCTTCAAAATAATATATTATTTGTAAGTTTATTTAAAAGATAACGAGTATCTCGTATTATTATGTTTTTTTTAGTTGCTATCTAGGCCATCTTGACCCTTTGACATATACAAGGGTCAAAATATTAATGTACATATATAAATTATGATTGCAATATTCCAATAGATGTTCTTGTTAGAGGTCATATCATAACAAGATGTCACAATAGCTTAGTTCATCCTTCAGTCAGAACAAACACTAAAAATTTTATCTCATTTAAATTTTGTTTTGTTGTATTTTATTTTGATTGCTGAAGGAATGAAAGTGTTTGTCCATGCTGCTGCTGCAACACCTATTCCTCTGCTAGATGCCATGGCCAGATGGGGCAAAAAAAGCAAGCTAAAGGATGTGGAAGTCATTCATATACACATTGACGGCAAAGCCCCACATGTTGACCCAGAATGTGAAGGTATAGTTACATTTACATACGAGTGGAGTGATTTTACTTGGCCAGCGTTTGAAACAAAGTTGTAGGACTAACAGTCTGAGTAAAACAAAAGAAAACAATGGTATTAGTGTCCACTATTGTATTATGCACACTTTTTAACAGCAGTTTGATTTTCATTAGGCCAATTAAAATCACTCTATAAATCAATAATAATTGTTCCTATGTCATGCATTGCCTTGTTGGCAGAATCGTGGGTGATACTAATCAAAATATGATGTTGAATTCTCAATTCTGATTGGTTGACCTTGACTTTATCCTGAATGTCAACTCAGCTCAGTATGGAGGGCTGGAAATGTCAGGGAAAGACAAAAAGTATATTAAACATGTTTACTTGTATCAAAGGATGCTTAGAATATTGAAAGTGGTCTAAAAAATGGAATTCTATTATGTAAAAAAATGGTGCATATGTTATACCTTAGTGTGATCAAGACAAGAATCTAACATTGAATGGATTTCAGACTTTTACAATGTACATGTATGTCACTGACTTATACTTTGGTTTATTTTTAAGGGATTTTCAGAGACAACTCTTTATTTATTGGAGCCAATTGTCGTCAAGCTGTCAACGATGGCAGAGCAGACTTCACTCCTATTTTTTTGAGTGAAATTCCATTGGTTTTTGATCGTAAAATCATAGAACTTGATGTTGCTTTGATTCAAGTGAGTCCACCAGATAAGCATGGATTTTGTACTCTTGGTCCAAGCGTAGACTGCACAAGATCTGCCATTAAAAATGCCAAGTACATAATAGGTATGGTATCTACTTATTCAATAAGAACTACATTTACAATACAATAATAAAGGGTAGAATGTAGAATGTATGACAACCATATCTTGAATATGCTTTACTGAAAATATAAAATATTTTTATTTTTATATGGAGCTTTTGTATTTTGATGTATTTCAGGTCTGGTGAATCCCCAGTGTCCTCGTACCCATGGCCCAGGTGGTATTCATCAATCTCATCTTGATGTATTGACTGTAGCTGACTTTCCTCTTCCTGAACACAAGATTGGAAAAGTCTCTGAAGCTGACAAAAAAATTGGCAAATTTGTTGCAGAAAACTTAATTGATGATGGAGCTACTTTGCAGATGGGTAAATAATCTTGTTATGGTTCAAAACCTCTAATTTTTAACAAAAATTATACCCTGAAACAACCTTTGGGCTGATCAAAGTCACGGCCTGACTAACTCACAGATAGAACCCTGAAACGACCTCTGGGCTGATCTAAGTCAGGGCATAAAACCTAAAATGACCTCTAGGCTGATTAAAGTCAGGGCATGATTAACTCACAGAGTTAACCCTAAAATAACCTCTGTAAAAGTCAGTCGGGACTGCTAACTCAAAGATAGAACCCTGAAACAGCCTCTGGGCTGATCTAAATCAGGGCATGGCTAACATACAGATAGAACCCTGAAACAACCTCTGGGCTGGTCTAAGTCAGGGCATGGCTAACTCACAGATAGAACCCTGAAACAACCTCTGGGCTGATCTAAGTCAGGGCACAGCTAAGTCACAGATCAAACCCTGAAACAACCTCTGGGCTGATCTAAGTCAGGGCATGACTAACTCAAAGATCTGAAACAAACTCTGGAGTGATCAAATTCACAGGTTGATTGAAATGTAGCAGGTTGGGTTTTGCAGAGGAAGGAAAACCTGAGAACCCAGAGAAACCTAACAAATACTAGTCACATGCGATGGCAAGTTGCAGGGATCATTTAACTTGTGATTCTAAGACGAATTGAGAACAGTGTTCAGGATGAGACGTATGGACCAACTGGTTTCTTTTGTATCCCAAATATAGGAATAGGAAGTATTCCTGATGCTTGTCTTGCTGAACTTTATGATCACAAGAACCTTGGGATCCATACAGAGATGTTCAGTGATGGAGTGGTTGACCTAGCAAATAAAGGTGCTATAACCAATGCAATGAAGAAAATACTTCCAGGCCGCATTGTTGGTAGCTTTGTCATTGGAACAAAGAAAGTTTTTGAATTCATTGATAACAATCCTTTTGTTGGTGAGTAATTAATGCTGTAGTTAACTGCTTTTTTATCCTTCTGCAAAATTATGATACAGTATTAGATAATTAGCTAGTACTTATGGGCTGAGCTGCCAAAATGGGTTTATATTGCTTACTATCAATCACGCGACTTTTTGGAGTTGACTGGGGGGAAAAAAGCGGTTGACTGGGGGGCAACTAGCCGATGCTAAGTCAAAATATATCAAAATAAGTCCTCAAACTATTGTATTTGACTATTTTCACGTCATCAAACCAGAAAACAAGAGATCAAAACAACCTCCAGGATTCTACAAGCCATCAAAAAAAAGCTATTACCGGAAGTGACGTCTATTGATAGCAACCTATTGAAAGCTTTCTCCCAGTTATCAACTTATACATATAGGAGAATCTTGATACCAAAAAACAATTTCAAAACAATAGAAAACATGCAGAGTTTCAAAATGTTTATTCTATTGTGTTCACTCTACCAGAAGTGATTCTGACTTTTCAACCAGGCATGAAGTTGAATTGTTTTGGAATCATCTTATGTTTTTGAGCATAACGTACAGCTGTGAAGCAATTATTTTAGACATTATTCCATGATAATACCCATTTTTATAATTACTCCCCAATGATACTAAGATAAACCAGCAGTTCTGTTGATGAAATTTTTCTACTCGGATTCTCAACCTTATTCTTTTAAAATCTTTTTCAGTTCTTCTGGATGTAGGATTCGTCAACCTTGTCTCCATAACCAGTCAGAATCCAAAAGTTACTGCCATCAATTCCTGTATCGAAGTGGACCTCACTGGACAAGTGGTATCTGATTCTATTGGTACCAAAATGTACTCAGGTACAAAATCAGAACTTGTGTGTATGCATCTTACCATGTTAAGGAAGGAAAGTATTTTACTTGGGGTATGCTGGGGCTTCAGAGCAAAGAATCACCAGTTAAAATTTGAACTTTTGTGGAGGTTCAAACCTTTCTATTTTAGCAAAAGCTAGTTCCTTGTTGACTTATAGGAGGTTCATGAATTTCTTACTCAATAGAAGAGGAAAGGCTAAATTTTTTTAAAAAGTTTATTGCCAATCCCTCACTCCTCACATAATAAAAAACGTACTTTCCATAATAGCACCCCCTTCACCCTCCAGTGTGTCCCTAAAAGGTTTTGATTAACCTTCCTTTGCCTCAGTCACTGCCTCCCTTTTCTGCAATGCATACACACATATTCAGTATGTATATTCGATCTTAAAGAGCTGCAAAATTTCTCACATACATATTTCACTTGTGTGGCTGTGGGTTATAAAATTTATGCATTTCAACCAAGAAAGGTTGTTTTTTTGTTGTAGTTCTTATTGACAGGGTAGCCTTACTTGTACATAATTTTTGGAACGTCTTAACCACAGGCAGGAGAACAAACTTTGATGTCCTCCGTCGGGAAGGCCTTTAGTGCTCTTAAGTAACAGTGAAAAATAGCCATTAATAAAGGTCTGGTATTTTATTTACAGGAGTAGGTGGTCAGGTTGATTTTCTGCGAGGTGCAGCTCTAGGACTTGATGGGCTGGGTAAACCTATTTTAGCTCTTAACTCCACCACTAGCAGAGGAGAATCCAAGATAGTTCCTTTTCTAAAACAAGGTAATGATTTGTTTTTTTGCTTTCAATGTAATAAGCATCATAAACTAAAGAAGAGTCCTGTTAAACCTCCTGGGGACTAGGGGTAATGTTTGAACTACTGTATAACCAGGTAATCTTTTGTTTGAGTGTCTAGTCGTTCTTTCTAGTGCTTTAGCACTGATTGGGGACACTTTTTCACTCACACACACACTACTCCTACATGCACATTCAATGTACATTTTGAGGAAGGAAACTCGACAACACAGAGAAAAACCATCATAGCAGCATAGGAGTGAATGACACTGCTAACAAACTCAACTCACGTAATAGCTGGAGCAGTAAAACACAGGCTTCTTGTCTCATACCTAGCATTGGGAAGAGGTAGATGCAATGCTACCTGTAAAACTGTAAGGAGGCAAGTAAACTAGGGCTGCCTTAAAGATAACAGGACTTAACTGCACACAATTGCTAGATTCAGGATTTATTTAAACATATTGCTTGACCTACAGTGGCTCTTCTTGTTGAGTGGGTTCCCTGTGGAATATCAATCCACAGGTTAACCAAGAGAGTCAAAACTGTTTTGAAGACAAAACTGTGATGGYGTTGTTATCATTTTGTCACACAGGTGCAGGTGTAGTGACGACAAGAGCCCATGTTCATTACATRGTAACAGAGTATGGAATTGCACATCTGTTTGGGAGGAACTTGCGACAACGTGCATATGAACTGATCAAAATAGCTCATCCAGATCATAGAGAAAACTTGGAAAAAGCAGCTTATGAAAGGTTAAAGTGCATGCCTTCTCCTGATTAAATAAATAACATTCTGGTCGGAACTGACTGATTCCTACTTCTTACAAGTTAAAATAGTAAGTCTTTCAAAGTCTATTATTTTATTGAATGTCAGTACTTTTTCAGATTTGTCTTATCAAATAAGCTTCGTTCAGTTTTTTTTCCCTCGAGTCTGAGAAAAAACTATGCAAAGATAGTCTTTGACAAAGTTACAGAAATGAGGCCAGTTGCACTGGTCATGGGTAGATATATGTTTTGACGTAGGTGAAAGTAATGTTTATAAACATTGCTATTGTGATGCTAATGTGCCAAACATTAATTTTAAGTGATATGTTTTGTCACCACTTTTCTTGGTTGGCTTGTCCAATTGTTTTGTGGTTGACAATTTAAATATCGATCATTCAAAACAAATTTCGTAATCGTTTGCCACCTATACCTTCACCTTAAGAGTGGATCCAGGGTGGATTGAGTGTCTACCCACACGGTCCCCTGAAGTTTTTAAAATAAGAATAAAAAGTAATGTAAAACATATAGAGAAAGCTATAGAATAGCTTTCTAGGGAACAGTTACACCTCCTTGACTGGCACAACTGTCTTAGACAAATTATTGTGTTATGACATTGGGAGGTTAAAAATGTCCTTCAGAGATATAAACTATTTTTGTGTATAATATTAAATAATAATAATAATAAAAGGTCGATAGATAAAATAATTTTCAAATTAACTTTATAGCATTTAAAATGGATTCTAGATAATATCATAACTGACATGTTAGTACTGTACACTTTTGGTGTTAGTAACTGATTTATTGTACGGCTGGGATATTAAACCATAGTTCTGAAGCCTGGTTTGTTTTGTATATCTTGGGTAAAAATTCTTCCTTAGCAACTGGTCATAATTATAACCTGTGGGGGGTGGGGTGGGAGGTTGTTGTGACATCATAGTGTATGTATGGCTGATGCCCGCAGCAGCTGTCTAAAAACCGTGTGATTGTCTTAAATCCTCTTTCCCCTCCCCCCAGGAAATAAATTATAACCAGTTAGTAAACACATGCTTGCATATATTTAAAAAAGTAAGATATTGAGATTTAAGTGAAAATTCATCGAGAAATAAACACCAAAAAATAGACAACTAAATCTTTAATAATAAAAATTGTTAATTTATTACCAGTTATTTACAGTAGTTATAACGAAAGATAAATTTTCCTAGCTTCAGTGAAAAATTGAGTGAAAAAATTGAGTGGAAAAAAATATTTTTAATTAAGGTTTTATTTATCCATAGTTAGCAGTTTATGAACTTCTTCACTCGGTAAGATATCTAAATTCAAAGTAGACCAAACTCCATCCACCTCAAAGTCCGTAATTCCAACATTCACTTGACCGAGCAGTTTGCTCTTTCCCATACGCCTTTGCGAGTATAACCGGAAGCGCAGCCAACATTTTCGTAGATCGTCTTTAGTAAATCCGTCAAAGGCGAATCGTTCGTGAAATTCTGCTTTAGGGATCGGCTTTGAAGACGTTTTGTACCGAAATTTATCCGACAGTGGTAGCAGTCGTGCGTGGATTTCCACCGATGTTGCAAAACCAGAACGAAGTAGTGTTTTAGTTACTGATTTGAGTCTTTCTATTTCTATGACCAGTCGCCCTGTAGTCGACAAAAAGCTAACAGTTACTTGTATGACAGCTGCGCGTAGGGGTGGAGGGTTACGATTAACATCTTCTTTTAATGGTTTCTCGATTGTCGTAGATAAAGGATAGAGTGCGTAATCTTTTTCTGATAGTTTTCCAGAGTCAAGTCCAGATTCAGGTGAATCTATTTGGGTATAGGAGAATGAACGTCCTTTGCCAGATAGTTGGTCCATGAGCCGACTTTCACATCGACGTAGCATGATGTACATGATAAAAAGAACGATTAGGCAGAGGGCTAGAAGGGACAGTAGAATGATGGAGGCATGTGGTACTGTAGGAGAAAACAAAAAAATAAAAAATAAATAAATAAATAAAAAAAAGAGAAATGAAATAAACAATTATGGTCGTTCCAAGACACCAATGAACATTCTGACATTACTATTAGCTTGTTTCTCTTATGATCTACTTACCTCTTCCAGCAAGTTTTAATTCCTACAACAACAAATAGAGGAATTTGGCCATTTCATAACACTCCTATATCTCAGTATATTGAACGATATACACGGTTGTCAGCCAATCAACGCGCACTTTAGTAATTCTTAACGTACTCATTTGTACATCACTTTACTATTGATCTGTCAAACTAGTGTTTTTCAGTCGCACCAAAGCAAACAAAGAAACCTTATTTACAGAAGAAGTCGTTGAGTAAAGTAATCAGAAATATTGTATAAGATGGTTCTTGCATAGCTAATAAAGTCATGGAAAAAGTAACCACGAGTCCTGGGTTAGATATTCCACTTATTATTAGCTTCCTGTACAATACCTGTCATTAGCGGTAGTTGCTTTAAAATGCCTAATGTGGTTTTTCTATTTTTCTCTCTATTTTTCTGTCTTTGTATGCGTTAATACTGATAGAGTTCTTATCGTGACCTTATTGGATTTTCAACGCCACTGGTCGGCCTCGTAACCTGTCTTGATCATAAAAGCGTCATGTAAAAGCCGAATCGCTGTACACTTCTTGATTACTAATGTATTTTCTAGAATTGCGCTAATGTGTTTTATCCATTTCAAGCGTTTTAGGGATCATAGTGATTATAGCTAAGGTATCACCCCCTTCTAATAGATATGGCTTTAAAGTCATTTTCTACTAATTATCAAAATAAGCCATCGTTCTTGCTGTATTTTATCAACCGTTGGTAACGACAAAGAAAGGAACAATGTAGGCGGGATTGACTGACACGTGGTTTGAATTGTAGAAAAACATGCCTACTGAAGCCTATCTAAAGACTCTACCGTACACTTAGAGACAAAGTTTAAATATAAACGAAATACAAGGACACCACATCACGTGGGAATATATTTCGGTAAATATGAACAAAAAAAAACTTAGGAAGGCACGGAACTTGGTCGACTTGAGTTCAAGAGAGACCTTATTAAATACTGACATATCTCGCTCGCATAAAAACATTTTCGCTGTAAAATTACATTTCAATTGTGGCGTAAAATTACTTTTCTAGTATTAAAAAAATAACAAATGGTTTATCAATTGTTTTTTTAATCCAATTCATAAGCCAAATGTGAGCTTTTACTTTTATTGACATAGTTATATTAACTATGAATTTACCCGTCATTTTATTCTGTCGAGAGCAGCTCTGACAGGACGACCCTGCTAGTCCTAACTAATTCAAAAACTTTTTCGAACTATTCGAGTTAAAATAAACTATGTTTAAGTTTTTATCGTGACTGAAAAAATTTTTTGATTTGAACTTTGCAAGATACTGAAAGTTAAAAAAACTTAGAAAAGTTTCGAAAGTTCTTAAACAAACAACTGCAAATACCTACATAAGTATGAAAGGGCCATTCATATGTCATAGTCAATACGTGTTTCAGTTTTACTTACCATGGAAGTTGGATTCTGTATCTCCACCAATAACTATCGTATTATTCCGATCTTCGTTCTCCGAGTTTTTTGAAAAGCTCTCTCGTTTTAATTCAGAAGAAAGGATTTTTCCAGCGACCTTCGTTAAGTAATCAGAGATAACTGCGAGAAAGAGGAATCCCGGTATCCGATATAAAAGATCTAAGTTCCGAACGACAATCCGATGAAATCTCATGGTTTTCGTCCGGTCGTAAACACATCTGTACAGAGTTTGTTCAATCGTTCGAAATTTCAACTGCACAACGTACGTTAAACCACATGTGGTGTCGTGCTAAACTCCCTTAAGTACAATACACGCGATTGGTAAACATTACAAAACTAAAGTCCCTTATGCATAATTATCTGCGTGAATGCGTCAGCAGCAAAACAATTTTCCACTCCATGGAACTGTGATTACTAACGGCTGCTAAGATATAGAGATTTCAAACACCAAACTCAACTGTTTTAAAGTCCAAAGTGAACTTAGATTAAAATAGTTTAAACCCAATTTCAACTTTTCAACAAGTCTCAAACCTTTTGATATCTAGAAAAGAGTTGGCATGGTATCCCTGTGGTGTCCGTGGGAACACTGTGGTATCGATTCGGTTCAGACAGTGACTTCCGCATCCATAGACAAAGTATTAGTTAAGGGCAGGTTTTATTATAATGCTTAATTTTCGTGCTTTTTGTTTTGGTTTCTTCCTTTATTGATATTGTTAGCCCAGGAGGTACCAAACTTGATCAACGTTTTTTCATGACTTTCTAGCTTCCAATTCTTTCAATGTCGTACAACCAATGTTGACTTTGGAGGTTGTTTTTTTGGTTTGTTTTGAAAAGGAAACGGTTATTAGATTACTTTCCAATACTGGTGATATGGCACTGAAGTGTGACGCAAAATGTCGCGTCTTTTCCCGCTTTTTGTAAATTTATTCAGATTTTTTTTTTTTTTTTCCCTCGATTTCAATGCTTCACGAGGTCATATTTTATTCTATTACCTGTATGACAATCATATTACTCTAGTTTGAACTGTTGTTTTTTTTAACCAAAACCTCCAAGTATGGCTTCGTGCAGCCAATATCTCTTTTAGTATCCGACAAATACAGAATACTCCACAAGCTGGGGAAGAGTCGAGGAAGAAGGGAGTTGGTGGAGCGCGCGTGCGCGTATTGGCGGGAAACTGAGTTCCCGCCAAATCTAATTCAATTAGTTTATGCAATTTAGAGAGTCATCAGTATCATTCCTTCGCCGCTGGCCTTCCACCATTCTGAATAGCTAGCTCAATATATAATTTCTATCCCAAAGTAAAACACATATTTAATCAACACTCAAAAATAATTTAATGAGGATTTGAGTCGTTAGGTAGCTTTGTTTTATAACACAGTGGAAGTTCATGGAGAGCAGATGTTTAGTGTCACTCGAAGGCTGATCACAGCCATCTAGCCAATCACAACACGACACGTTAGATACTATCCACCTATCAGAATGGTCACTCCATATCACTAGGAAATCTGCTCTCATAAAATTTGAATATTCTTAAGATAATCCCAATAATAACATGACCTGATTAATGCTTTAAATGTTAAGTGAGTTGATTGATCAAGTGTGCACAGAAAGCTGGAGCTCAAGAAATATCTGAAACTCTATTAACTTTTGTATCTTTTTATCATAGAACTAATGATTATAGTTAATAATAGATTCATGTTCTAAATTAACTTAATTGCTAGTTACCTAATAAATAATAACTAATAAATCTCATTTATCTATTCCATTTTTGACTTATTTCCACTTAGCTTTCATTCCTTCGACCTTTTTTTTTATTTTTCGTATTCCCTCGATTTTACTCTATTATTCAGTTTTATATTTCGTTATATTTCATTCTATTCATAGCCAACGTTTTCTCGATGTTTTCCATTCATATAATAATCATTTATCCCATTTGTATATTTCCCACAACCAAAACCACAAATTATCTACTTCTTTGAAATATGTGATAATATATTTTTTTGTCGTTTGTTAGTTTAATTCCGTTGATCTTCGTTGTTTCGTTGATAACATTTGTGTAAGTTTTTAAAATGAGTTTCCGCTCATACGTCACACGACGTTCATCACGTGACACTAATTTGTTTGCCAAGCCTGTATTTCCCACAGGTAGCCCGCAAACTGATTTTGTCACAGTTTATATTTCTAAGAACTACAAATAATCAGATTTGAAATATAAACACCCGGCCAATCGGAAAACAACGATGACTATGAACAATCAAATGGACCGGAGTTGTAATCAAGGTGCTGTCTTGATATTTTTGCCGGATATTTTAAATTTTGCCATGTCTTCTTTTATGCTCAAAGCTGGAACCAGCAAAGAAAACTAACAGTGAAGTTTGTCTGTATTCTTGTCTCGGTCACAAGTTATCATTGATGTCAATGGATATAAGGGTCATTATTGGTTGGACAAGTGGACGCCTTGTCGTACCGTGGTTAAAGTTAAAGACCAGTCTTGCTTTGCTGGCATATTACTCAGATTTGTTGTTAGTAATGGTGGGGTTACTTATCTTGGCACATTAAAATTATCATAAAATGAAAGATGGTTGAAGTATGTGCTTGACTTTAGGAAAGACCCTTTATTAGTGACGTAATATTTATGGACAAAAATAGCTTATCTGGGTCAGCCCCACGTGACAGATGACGTGTTGTAATGACGCCGTATTTGGAGTTACGAACATATTAGTTTGGTGATTTCTTTGCTTGGTGAGAGATTCAGCCATTGTGTTGAGCCAATGTCTTCCAGATCAAACAACATAACGTCTGATGTATTTTCCCCAAGTAATTTTCCTTTTCCTATAAACTCGTGGCTGTAAACACGAAACCTCATCTTCATCGACTCCAATTCTTGTTTCGATACGTTTTTAACCACCCAACGTTCTTGAAAGCTTACATTATTGACCGCCTTGGCTTTGGTCTTGTAGCGAGCGCGCTTGGAAGGCAGGAGTGTTATATGCGTCTCCATGTACGAAGCCAAACCCATCTGGAAGACTGCTTGATTGATCTCCTCGATCCGAATGATTTCGATCTCCAGTCTTTGTGCAGTCGGCGCATACGAAACAGATACTTGAAGTTTTCCCAATAGATTCTTGCTTCTGTTCTCAGGCCTTAGTGATATAATATCTCCATATGCAGACATAGCCCGCTGACCAGCTGCTCGTCGTCCTCCTGCCGCTGATAGTGCTAGAGGTGAGATATGTTTCATGGGAAGACCTGGTTTGCCAAGGCTGTCTCCCCAGCTACCGTAGTTGTATTGGGATGACGCAGTAGAGCTAAGACTGAGGTCACTCTCGCTGCGTACTCTACTGCTGTGTTCAATGGCTGCCAGAGACAGCTTATCGCTCCGTCGCGGTGGTGGAGCTGCCGACGTTCGACGCGGTAAATTGATTTGAGGTTTGTTCAGGGAAGTGACGCTTTTCGCCTTGGGCCGTCCTCTACCCGCGTTAAAATCTGTATCATCAAGTACAGGGTTCGATGCTATAACCGATTTAAAATTCGATCGACGCCGCTTGTCCTTGCCTTCTTCAATATCCGAATGAATATCGATTTGTCCGACTTCAGTGTACTGAACCTTGTCGATGATTTTGGATTTGTCTCCATCCTTTGTGCCTTGACAACATGTATCGAAGCTGATGAACTTGTACAGGATGGCGAAGACGATGAGACAGACTCCCAGAGCCGACAGAAGAATGATAGCAGGAAGAGGAACTAGGAGAAAGAAAAATAGAAATATTAAGAAATGTTCTTCTCTTTTAGCGGCAACTTCTTTTCAGCTCAATAGCGTTTGGAGAACACTAAACAATAGAATCTTGAGCCGTAGTATTCATGCRTCTTCTTATACACCAAGAGTCAAATAAAGAAATGATACTTAAGGGAATGACACACCACCATTAGGGTCTGATACGGGAAAGCATTATGCCTAAGGTAAAGGAGAGGTCTATTAAGAAACCTTTTTTAACAGTTAGAAACTGATGTACTATGATAAAATGCTTGTTTGAAGCGGTATTTTCAATTGTACAAGGATGTTTTGTTGCATTTGTGTTAGAACTATGTAGCTTTGTCGGGCTCTTTTATAGAAAATGTATGGGAAATAAGCAAATGAAGGCCTAAACCTTATTTTCGAATAAAATTTTTGCTTTATGTTACACTTTGATTTCACTTTCATCGGTCATCTCCACTTCCAAACAAGTTAAACTTTCTGAATAACAGGATTTTAGCCTTACAACAGCCTTTCTTCAAGAAAATAGTTTTTGGCGCTCACCGCTTGAATACGAAAAGAATTTTCTCTTAATTTCATTTCTCAGGATAGGAAATTTGGTTGTTTTTTTTTTTTTTTTCGCTCGGCAAATTGAACTACATTTGGAAAGTGCACTTTGGTGCGAGGTGTTTATACTAATAATAAAGAATTACTGGATGTGAGTCGGCAAAATATTGCAAAAGTGACTTACAAATCCAATTTTAGCACATTTTTATTAGAGATATGATCGATTTTCATGTTTTGTGTTTCACAATCTCTATTAGGATTCGCGTCGGCATTTTTTACATGAATCAGTAAAGCGCATGCTCAAACCGTTATTTGTTCGCCGCCATTGTCAGTTTGCGCAACCAATCAGAATCAGGGATATATTCGAGTCGATTGATAATAAATGAATTATGGGTAATTCCTCACGAATCAGAATACTGTGAATAATGAATAAATATACCTAACTTGATTGAAAAATTCAATTTTGGATAAATTGAATTTTTGGGGCATTCTAGTGTTATGGCATTAATCCATTCTTGTTTTGTTTGAGCAAGTGCGCAGGACCGGTGCGCAGTAAATTATATTCCGTCCTCCCGTCCCCTCTCCTGTCAGGGTTTGTTGCCTCACGCGAAGTCGAAGGTTGTCACCGACCCTTTCATAAGAAAACACCAAATTCCACTTAATTATCACTTCCATCTTCGAAAATGTAGTCTTCATACGATTAGAAGCCCGTGGCTTTCACTCTGAATGAACGGGTTAATTATATAACCCTTGTATGAATAATTATCTGTCAAAAGACACAGCAGTAGGTAATGATTAATATTTAAAGGACTACTGAGGAGGTAATTTAAGGCTCAAGGCGAATGAATATATGATTTACATTAATGTCAACGCAACCAAGCGGAATTTTTCTGTTGATATTCAGGCTGTTGTTCAGCTGAGGACTGACTCCATGCTATCTGAGACTTGTCTCCGATCTTAAAAACAATTCTATTAGCTACTTCCTTAAGATTCAAACTTTTTAAAGAAGGCTTTGATGCGCTTATCGCCGCATCAGCCCTTTCGAACCAATTAGTATAAATTAAAAAAGACGTTCTTTGATCGAGAAATCAATCATTGATTCAACGCAGTAGATCATTCAGTGAATAGCCTTCGATGTATTACACACGATACGACAAAAACCATTCTTACGATCGATATCTTTTTGAGTAGAGGCTCCATCTTGTTGCTATTTTTCCGTTTCTTCTTTAGATCGTCTCAACAGAATTAAAACGCACTGAAAAAATTAGTCGACTTTGAATTCGTTTGCATAGTTTCTGTTCATAAGTTTTTTTTGTATTTTGTATTTGCTATATCCATCTAATATGTATAAATAASTTTGAGTAAATAAATTAGGACAAAGGCCTTAAGAACACAAAATAGTAATTTTACTTTTTTACTTTAACGACAAGTCAAWTTTCTATTCCTAATTTATGTATTCATTAAATAATAAAATACTTAAATTTATTTTACTTTTCTATACAGAATGTTTGACTTTCAAAAATATTCAAAATAAGAGTCTCTTTTAAGAAGAAAAATAAAATGTGTATTATAAAACGGATAACATTTACGGACGATTTCCTTGCGACTGTAATTCCGTTTGAAATATTCAGACCATCTGGTAGAGAGCGCCGATTTTTAGACAAAGAGACAAAAAATTATCTTAAAAAAATTCAAATAAAACTTACCTGCTAAACCATCTTTCTTCGTTGGGGTAGAAGATTGCGATTCTCTTTTGATGATTTTAGCCAAAGTTTGAGCATTGAGAAAGAGGAAGAAAGAAAGAACCAATACAGTATTTTTCATCGTCATTCTTGTTAGTCTTGATGCGGGTTTTCTTCGCAATGACAGAACAACTCAACTGTCGCGTTCATCGATAATCGCAGACCAATTTTTTGTCCGAGGTTTCTGTGATTCTACCAAGTCTACTGATTTGAAATTCCACTGTGTAGGATAGAGAAAACGTCTATAGATGCAGCCACACACCCTCGTTCATCGCCAGTTGCACTTTTTTAAAGTTTACGCCAGCCAGATGTATGGTAATTATCATAATTCGTAAGTAAATTGGCCAGCAAACAGCAGTAACGGGTAACGAGCGTTTGGAGATCGTCACGGAGAGAGAAAAACGATATCCACCAAAGCAACGTAATATATCTAACCAGATTTTGTTCTCGAAATACTCAAAATACGAGCTGGGTATTTAAATTTCTTCAAAACATTCCTTTGTTCTTAGGAATAAAAGAATTACATCACACATATAATCTGTTTTGAAATTTAAAGCATACATGGCTTGTGTTTTTCAATTCGTTTTCATTCAAGTATATCAGTCATTGTTTTTCTCAATTGTTTACTTTAAATGTTGACAAAAATAAGGTCATATGAGGCCTGACGTTTGTTCACAAAGTAGTTCAAACCAACTTGTCAACTGATTCATGAACTGATAAACGTTTTGACTTTCTTGTGGCAAATTCGACCAATTTTTAGCGAGGGAGTACGTCAGAAAACAAAACCGCAATGGGAAATTCCTTTAGTGTGGTGAGATGTTGGARACAGATAGCTACACGTGTACACCCTCGCATTGGTTTAAGTGAAATTCAAGGGAAAGCTTCTAAATCATTCATAAGCACTATTGATGTATGCTTTTGATTTCTTGTTCCTTTTGAATCTTGTCCATCCACAGAGCTTTAGTATAAATAATAAATAATAGATAAACCGTGTTTTTACTGAAAACACCGACGCAGTTTACACTAGTTTTCGTGTTTCAAAAGGATGACCACACTAAAATACCCTTGAATGAGCGATATTCCGGAACGATTATCCTGAAGAAAAAACTAACCAGACTTCATATTTTTTGAATTTACCGATATTTCACAAGTGGTAATTTTGCAACGAAAAGAAACAGTTTCATTAAATAAAATTCATTCTTTATTCATGAAATTTAACATGGTCTGCCGTTGTTAATCATTTATCTGGTGTCTGCGTATTATTTCAATTGCGAACTAATTCCGAAATTTCAAAATAATACAAAACTAAAATTTAAAATTTAAAACGACTCGGCTTGATATGAGATCTTCTTCAACAGGTGAAAATCATTTTTTGAGATTTTCAAACATATTTTTGAAACTTTAAAGTTCTTGCGCATGAGCACTGGTCTAGATTGAACTGACCTGGATAAACGCARGCTCTTCTAGTAAGTATCTACTATTCCACTAGTTTCTCGCTTGGGCTTCCGTCCCGCGACCAAAAGACGACAGATTTGGGAAACTATGTGGGCTAAATTAATCCGATCCCAATTTTCAATCAGGTTTTTATTTGGCCAATCAGAAACAATTATCGCCAAGTTCTTATCGGCTGCCTTGGAGAAGAAAAGAAATGTATGCCCTCACAACGAAAATGGATGAAGAATCATGATTATATAAACATGACTGTGAACGGTAGTTTCTGAAGTCAGCTGCTYGATTATCCCCTTTTCGTGGAACTAGGGTACCAGCAATCCCATTTGATGTAGGAGCTAGAGGCGCGTATATCATGAAGTCTTTATCCAAGACACTCTTGTCGCTGCCCGCGCGCGCATCTCCAGCACGTTAGCAATGCGAAGTGACTTTATGACTAAATCAAAAATACTAACAAGGTAGAAAACAAAACACGCTGTCAGACGCGGTTCACATGTTTAATTTTAAAASATCAGCGGCAAAGATCTTATTTAAAAAGATAAAATAAAAAACTCAAAAGCGCCATACAAACAATCGGTAGTCTWCGCGCTCAGAAATTAGTCGTTAATTTAACGCAAGCGACTTGCGTTTATGAAAACAGATATCTTATTTCCTAACATATCAAAAAGAAAGACGTATCCGCCGTAGGTGTTTGTTTTCTCTTTCCGCCAAATAGTCTATCTCCTAATTCCGGTTCTTATATTCAAATCTGAATGGTTTTTTATTCTAATTCATAGATGTGGCAATATTAGACAATCAAGATGYCCAACCACTAACATCTGACAAACGTGTTCTTGAACCAGCTGATATTAAGGCATCTCTATTTTCCATGTTGACTGTAGGTGTAGCTTACTAGCCAATCACAGTCCTACAGTGCTCTGATTGGCTGAGCTACTAGTGGTCTATCTACACTAGTAGCGAAAAGTGCTGGTTTGGAAAACTAAAACAGTGGCGGCTAACATCTGACATATGTATGTGTTCTTGAGCAGCTGATATTAAGACATCTCTATTTTCCTTTTTCACTGTAGTTGTTTCTATTGGCTTGTGTTGATGTTGCATGACGAAATCTCTTTACTTTTTTCTCCAATGAGTTTTTAGTTCATTTCCTTTTGTAATTAGATAATTTAGCGATCAAGATGGGAGATCAATAGTCTGACATGTCTGCATGTTATCGCGAATTTTATAAAGCAAGAAAAATAAAACAAAAATAAAATATAATAAAAAAATAAAAAAATGAAGTAATGAGAAAATTAACGACAACAGCTTTCCCAAGTTCCGAGTAGTGCGTYAGTCTTGTTTATCACATGCTACAGAATATACAGCCAATCAGGAAGCAAGGCAGTATYATGGCTCTATATCGAGAGCATGAGATAAAATAGATATACAATGCTTTCTCGTGGTATTAACAGTCACATAGCCCGAATATCTTTATCTAATACGTAATTCATTATCGAGGAAGGGCGAGACGGCTTATTATTTTAGTAAGTGCATTTTCAGAAGCGTTTGTAAGATACACTTCTGTCACAAATACCCTTAAGATATCCGAAAGAGATTTGGCGGATAGAAATTCAGCTTCATAATTTTTACAAAACATCATTTTTCTAAACTATGCGTTATAAGAAATAGAGCACTAGKAGCTTACTAGCCAATCACAATTTCGCAGTCCTGTGYTCTGATTGGCTGAGCCACTACTGGTCTATTGACACTTACTCGCGTTTTCAAACATAATTTCAAGATTAATCATTTGAATCCATTTATTCGACCGATTAATAATTACTGTAGAAGGTTTAGACTAAATCAATTCGGGCATGGGCTATTGGCTCGTAGACCATGTGGACTTCGGGTGTARCTGTTAATTGTACCTCAAGAAAGCATTGTACAGACCTGGTCCCGGCATGCTCGTTTGTTCTATGTTTTTTTAGTAACAGTGGCACCCAGTGTGAATGTGTTGGTCTGTTCACCATCACCCCATCCCACCACTATCACGTGTARCTCACTCAACTGACTACTACCAGTTGTCAKGGTAACGGTATTGATACCGATACCACGTGGGTCGTAATGAGTGGAGCTTGAGACAGAGCAGGGTAACTCGTTCGGCAGGCACACATAAGTAGCCATGGCTGACTTGGAGTCTGTTCCAGTTACAGCGACGGTTATGTCGTAGCTGTTGAGGTTAAAACAGACTGTTATTAGGCCCAAAAAGTTCCATTTTATAAACCTTGGAGGTGTTAAAAATTTTTAAAACCTATTGACCACTTTCGAAACGAGCAATGTACTGGGGCGAATTTTTGATTTTCATATGTAATTTGAATTGCAAGGATATAAACATTTCAGGAAACTCTGCTTTTCAAGTCATTTGTGCGTTTCTCGATCAAGAGGGCGCCATTCAATTCACGTTAACTTGCGAGAATGAAGATTGGAGACCTCGCTCCGCCCTACCCTCGTTTATAAATAATGCAGGCTGGATAAATGTCAAACAGACTACAGATTAGGAGCTGAACGCCGGGTGAAAAATGAGAATGGCAGTCAGGGGTCATTAAGTGTGTCAAGCCGATCATGTTCATTACGCTTAGTAAAATAAACTAAATTGATTGAAATCGTGGTTTGTCCTTGAAATGCAGAAAATAGTGTTTCTGGAACCCCCCTTTTAAAATGATCCTGGATCCGCCATTGAATGGACAGGGGCGGACCAGGGGAGGGGTGCAGGGGGTGCGCACCCCTCCCTGGTTCCACTTTGTGCCCCCACTTCGAATATAATCAATACTATTTTTYCCCTTTGATTCTAAGGGGTGCACCCCTCCCTGGGTTAACTATGTGCGAAGCACCCCTCCCTGAACAAAATCCTGGATCCGCCATTGAGTGGAGAAAGATAACTAAAGTGACTTTAGTGCAGTTGATGTAAATACGATATTGAAGATACATAAGATACTGCTACTAACATACCGGTCTCCCGTCTGTCGATCAGGACAAAACCTGAAGAGAAACTCGTCATGTCCAAGAGTCAAGACGGTCTGTTCCGCTGCGGTCTTCACTATCTGCATCAAAACTTGAACATTTGCACGCACACCATCCTTGGCTATTGGTTCTGGGAAGTCCATGGCATTACGCAAAGGTGGTCGTTCTAATAACGGGGTTTTGGTGTTCAAAAACTCAACMGCTACAGTCCAATCAATGTTAGGGCTCGGTCCAGCGGTTACACGCAAGTATAGATCATTCATGGTTGCATTGTAGGTGAAGTTGCAGTAATGATTACCACTGAACTTGCCAGATGCCCAATTASAACAGTAGATTTTGGTGCATTCTTCATCGCTACATACCTAAACGACCAACGGTCCACAGTTAGTTTGACGTGATAGTTTATTTATTTATCAAATTAAACTGATCCTCGCAGTATGTAAAGCAACTTATGAAGCTGAAAATTGAACTGACTCCGAAAACATTCTGAGTCTTGAACGGGATTCAATTCGCAGCTCCATAAGTTGCTTCACATACTGCGAGGATCAGTTTAATAGTACACAGTAATTTATTTGATATACACAGTTTATTTATTATTTATTTATTATGCATTGAATATTTCATAGAGAGTATAATTAAGGCCTTATTATTCATTATCGTTTCCTTAAGGATTTTTTTTCAATTATCTTAATGTTTAATGTATATATATTTTTGAACTTTTTATCTAGTAGTGTAGTTATATATTTACTCTAATCTATTTACTATTTATTTATTATCTATTGTATGTTTCATAGCGAGGTCCACAAGTTTATCAGTCTCTAAATGTGCCAGTGAACCGGAGGCCCCAAAATATTTTATTGTTGCAATCTTAGCTTGCAACGGACAAGCTACTGATCTGAAATGCGCAACTAATAATAATAACAATAATAACTCAATTTAATGAGGTTTAGCACATTACAGTCAAACACATAGTTATAACTCGACTAAAACTTGCCTATTCACAAATTTCCATACATCGTTTTACTGGTCAAGAACAAAACAATCAATCGAGACTGCAAGGTAGTTTCAAACCTTGCAGCCTCGACAGTCGAACGATAAATGGAAAGCGTTTATTTTAATCACCTCAAGTTTAGCATACGTGCCAATAACTGGTTTCCATCCATTCGGTAGGTTTACCCTAGCAACGGTCAAATTGCCATCGTAAAGTTTACCATCACAAATAGTTGCAGCATAGATGACTGCTGAGTCTGGTGCAGGTCTATCTGGTGCAGRCGACACGAACAGAACAGGAAGAAACTTGATGGTTGTTTGAGCGGCTGCATTGGATAACAATGTTACTCCTGCGCAACGAAATAAAAAAAGTAGAAGATTTAATTTCAATACAAAAGCAATCTCAATACTCGTCCACAGTCTCTCTCGTTTCAATATTTTCAAGATGGCGGCGAAAACGAGAGAGACTGTGGACGAGTATTTTGGTTCCCAAAGCACGCCGGGTCCATGTTTTCGGGACCCATAAGTCCTTTCGGTCATTGTACCGTTACAGTCTCTAAGCGTGGAGACGGAACGGACGAGCGAGAGACTGTGGAAGAGTCTAGCCACTGCCTTCTCTTCTTTCTTGCAACCGACCGCAGGTCACCAAGGAATGCAGGCTGATCGGAGTCGCAGCGAGAGACTTTGTTTGTATTGCAGCAATTTATACGGAATTTTGATCGTTTTTCTAAGAAACGAGCCGATCAGCGTGCTTTTTCTTCGTAGCTTAATGGTTCCTATTTCTAGATCCTCAGCTATTTGAATTACAAATTATAATCAAAAACTGATAAAGACCCAACAAAACTGGTTTCCAAGGAAAGATTAAAAAAGTGCAAAAAACTAAACTTAATTGAATAAAACTTTTCATTTTGTTCAACGAGGTGAGGGGAAGGCGCATAGGCACTGGTTGGTTCAATGATGTGACACGAAGTCACGACTCGTTTCAAATTACGATAAAGGAATTTAATACAAGACTTTATGCCATGAGGTAAGTAAGCTAAAGTCAGTCTCCAAAGAATCGATGGAGCTCTGTGAATTAAAAGTTATTTATCGTTATCGCTTCCTCTGGTTTGCATGAAGTGAATGCTGGCGCAAAACTCATCTGGTCTCATTCAAAAAATGCTCGCATAAAAATTGGTAATAAAAATTAATCAGCACTACGAGACTATTTTTTAAAGCCAAATTACACTTTAGTGACCATGCGAATCCGAAATCAATCAGTAAAATCCAACTCACACTGATATGTTACGAAATATTTCATTGAAAAGAAATGCACTGAACAACACCATCTTAATCCTTACTTACCGCAAAACAATAAAATCGATACAGCTTTGATCGTCTTCATTTTGGTGGCTGCTGGAAATGAACTCGGAACACAGACTGGCTCACAGGCAGAAGAAAGTACGAACTCTACGGTTCTTCTCGTTGCAGACCAAAACACCCCTAAAGTAATGCCCTTGAAAAAGGAATAAATCGGTTATGTTAGCGGTGAGTAGACAGTACGTCACGTCAAAAAGTGGAAATCCAGCCAGTCAGAAGGCAAGTTACAAGTGCTTTATATCTGTAGGTCAGAAGTTCGTATTCCAAGAAACGCACGTGGTGAATCGACAGATGAAAAGAAGCAATAAAAAAACGTCACTTTTCTTGGAAATTAATACAGATTTTGCTGATTGAGTGCCTCTGAACTGTAGCAGCTGATATCACGCCACTAATAACAGGAAATGAAAATATCGATGCGGTGACTCCGATCTTAGTAGAGTCGGGACTTCCCCAGTRGATCAGTGCACTGAGTTACATCGGTCTTATGGAAAATTCTATTATTTGGGATAGTGTGACCGCTAGTGACCCAGTATACTTTCCACTATACTAAGAAATGTTAGGCTGGTCTTTACATGGGACTCTTGTCCTATTGGCCATGCCCTCAATGAGATTTAATTATCTAGTCGTAAAGTTAATAAATAAATAAAATAAATAAATAAAATGACCCTCAACTGACACTGCGTCACAGACCTTTGCTCTTTCTCTCTCTGGAGGTAGCAGCTGATACACGCCACTAGCAGGAAATGAAAAAATCCATGGGCTGACCGCTCCGATCCAAGTAGTTAGGACTTCATCAGTAGATCAGGGTAGGGTATCATTTTTTGACATTTTGTCTGGGATAGGGTATCATTTTAGTCTGGGATAGGGTTAACGATTTGGTCGTTTTTGTCTGGCGAATAGGCTACGCTTTCTGCCGACACAAAAACCATAAAAATGTTAGTAAATATTGATTGCAATCAATTGTAAAACCGCATTTTTCGTCTTTTAGTCTGGGATAGGGTGTACACTTCTTAGTTTTAGTCTGGGGTAGGGTATGTAAAATCAAAATTTTAGGTCTGGGATAGGGTCAGGGTTTTGAGGTCTTGGCGGCACACCCCTACCCAAGTTGGGGTGGTAGTACCCCCCCCCCCCGGAAACAAAGGAAGGAATTCAGAATACGATTCTTTGAACCCAGTTCCGAGAAAGTTATCTAATAATACGAATATGCTTAGCTTGGACTTTTTAATTTCTTGGAAATAAAAGAGGGAATTCAGAATACGATATTCTTTGCACCCAGTTCCGAGAAAGTTATCTAATAACACGAATATGCTTAGCTTGGACTTTTTAATTTCTTGGAAATAAAAGAGGGAATTCAGAATACGATTTTTCTATTGTAACACAGGCACGCCAGGATAAATAGAGTCAACGTCAAAGTTTATTTACCCCATATTTGAATATCTTATTTACAGAAGAATAATATAATTACCATTTCTAAAGAATATTATTAATATATCAACTAAATTAATAATAAAAAAACAAGATATGATGATAATATTAAGGGACACTGATGTTTGTACTCCAACTGAATGATAATCACGTGACTAGACCAAACCGATTCCTGTTTCCAGCACATTTTCCATGAAGTTCATGGTTAGATGGAGACTAATTCCGGACATCTTTACTGATATCACCCAGTTGTCTCCCAAGGGTCAAGGAAAGGGAAAGAGACCCTTTGAGGACCCTTTGTGAACACCGCCTGACTGCCGGTATATTAGAGAGACGACTGGGGACGAGTTAGCTTCTTTATTCTCTAAATGGGCTTCCTTTTTATTCCTCTACCGAAGGTGGTTTGGGTTMCAGTCATTTTCGTGCCAAAATACGAAGTGCGGGAACTTGATGCAGGAAGAAGGCGCTATTTATCGGCTCATACTTATAAATATAAGGCTTAAAGGATACCCAATCTGCACTTTTACTATACTAAGAAGGTAGGCAATGTCTTTGTACGTTCTGAGGTAGATTTTGGAGTAACAATTCATTATTGTTTTGATGTTTAGCAGCTGTTGTTTGAAGACTTCTTCGTCTCGTTTGATGTGAAGCCTGCTTCCGCCTGCTCTTCTACCACGGCTGTTAACAGACTAGTTTTATGGATTAATCAATAAGTTATTTATTACTGACTGAGTGGAAAGCCTTATCTTAAGARTCAGTTGATTTGAACCCTTCGAAGATGTTGGAGAACTTGGACTAGTAGCGTCAACTAGTATGAACGACTCAGAAGGTGACACTATTCCTCGTGCCAAGAAAAGAAGAACTAAAAAATTAAAGTCGTCTTCAGAAGAATCTGATTCTAATAATTATGTTRAACCAGTGTTCAGAAAATCTCGAGTTTCTAAGAATACTAAGTGTGACAGCTCAGATGATGAAGAAACACCGAGGAAAAATGTGAAGACTCCAGSAACGAGAAGCTCAGAAAGACTCAAGGTTAAAAACTCAAGAGAGTTTCGCCTGCCTAGCAGAGATGAGGTGCTTGATGAAGTATCTCCAGGGAATATTATATGTCCAAGGTCRTCAGAACGAAAAATTAAAGAACTAAAGCCCAGAAGGCTAGTAAACAACTTCATAAGAGAGTAAGTCATGTGGGAAGAGGGAGGCTGTATGTTGCTAGGAGTCTACAACTAGAAATCTGTCACTGATTCGCAGATGAACCTAACCAACTGTTCTAATTTTGCCCATGTAAACTACCTGCMTTTCTACTGCACAAAACACTGCAAATCGCCATAAAAACTGTAACAAAAACTGCAGCTAACTTCACAGTTTGAATTATAGCAAGAATCACCCATGTAAACAGGCCAGAGACAGTGGAGCATTTAAATGATGATCAAACTAAGCCACAGGCAACCCACAGTAAAATTTATCCTTGTCTCAGAAATGACATTTTGCTTTGATGAACATGTATTGGTTTTTAATATTTCTGGCAAAAAAAGATTACTTACTTACTGACCATAATGCCTGCTGGCACGTAGGGCAGCAACAAAGCATGACCACGTTAGTCGTAGTCTATATCTTTGTTGCTGTTTCCATATCACTTATTGTTTTATAAGACAGGGTTGTTAGCCCTGTGCCCTACCCATTAGCCCAGAGGAGTTTCAACCTGTCTGGCTTCGGTGACCCTAATAGGAGACAAAGCTCCTGCCAGCATAGCTCTAGGTGTCATAGAGGCAAATAAGCTCTCCAGCCTCGACAACCCACAGTAGAGGCCAAAAATTTATTTATCAGAAAAAAATAGTGGACTTCAGTTCCACTGTCTCTGTTCAACTCATTTCATGTTTACCCAGAAAAAATCCAGTTCTCTGTTGCACAGGGTTAGYCTTGATTTTGTGCTGAGTATTCATGTGAATTCTTTACTTTAGTGTTGGTACTTGTGAATATTTTGATGCAGAAATGAGGTTAGACCTGAGTAAATCAAGGAACACAGTGTTGTTAGCAGTTTATTTTTGTTGTTCATTCCTTCTCTTTATATAACATTTACAATTAAATTTGTATGTTTTTTATTTCACTGTAGGTGTAATTCGTATGCGGCTGAAAGAGCTGGAGATATATATTCAACAGATAGCAGCTTATCAGACTTTATCAACGATAGTGATGAGGCTGAAGGGGAAGAGGATAGTGAAAATAGCTCCTCTGWTGCTTCATCATCATCTTCAAGTAGTAAAGATGTTTCAAATAYGAAGAAAAAATCACCAAAAAGGAGAAAAAAGAACATATCTTCTGATTCTGACAGCGATGAAATCAATAGCAAAAGAAAAAGGGGAAAATCAAAGAGTAAGACAATTAGAATGAAGAAACTTGATGGCAAAACCAATAGGAAAAATGCAAAGGAAAAATCCCAAAATGCAAAAACAAAAACAAGTAAAGTTTCAAGAAGGAAAAAGAAAATTGTTTCAGATGAATCAGAGTCTGGTTGTAGTTCAGATGGGGCTGACGATAATGTACCATTATCTACTTTTCTAGAAAAAACACCAAAAACTAGAAAAAAGAAAAAAATTCTTCCAAATTCAAGYGAATCAGAGGTTGAAGTGGATGCCATGCAAGTGGATGCCATACAAGATGGTGATTCTAGTAATGAAGAAGGGGAGAGATCCTTCACAAAGTTAAAGGAGTCAAGACCAAGCTCTACAAGACGATCTACAAGACGCATGAAACTAATACAGAAACAACAAGAATGCCACGAGAAAAAATATGGTGATTTTTTAAAAAGAAGAGATGTAGCAAAACTTGGCACAAAAGACCCAAAAATGAAGGATGATACTTCAAATCAAGTCATTAAAGAGAAGCTTAACAATAGTGACGAGGGCCTTCAAACTTTGAAAGAATTAATTGAAAATTGTWGCGAGTCAGATGAAGATGATAAAGATTTTGTTGTGTCTGATGGTGAAGTTTCTGAAGAAGAAATGATATCTGATCAAGAACTTGATGTAAAGTTTCTRAAGTTCATTAATGATCATAGCCAAACAGAAGATAATGATAGCGAAACTCTAAACTCACCAACCAGTGGATTTTCTGTCCAAACCAAACGAAAAGGAAGAAAATTAAAGAATTCCTCTTCAAAATGGAGRAGGATAAACACAAGAGTAGAATCAGATGACAGTAGTGAGTCAGAAACAACAATCAAAGACGACTGTGACCACAACTGTCAGCTCCATACAGCTGTCAATCATAATGACATTGATGCAGTTAAAAAACTTCTGCAACAAGACCCTAGTGCAATCTATAATGTAGGATACAGGAAGAGGTCTGTCTTGCACCTTGCAGCTTTGAACGGCAATCCAGAGATGGTTCAGCTGTTGATTAAAATGAAAGCCAAATGCGAAGTTCTTGATAAGTATGACTTCCCACCYATTGCATATGCTGCAAATGGACATAGTGAGTGTCTTAAGATTTTCTTGAGACACACAGATATAAAACGAATTAAYAATGAACTTATTCAAACACCCAGTAAAATGAGCCTCCTTCATTTTGCCGTTGGTGAAACCAGGATGGGAACAGAATGTACTGAGAGAGGAAAGTGTTTGGAACTGTTATTTGCAAATGATAAGAATCTTTGTAAAAGGATGTTGCAGCACAGAGATGTGAGGAGACGCACACCTTTACATGCTGCAGTGTTTGCTTCTCAGCACCAGGTATACTCAAAACTTACCTTGAATTTATGCTTTAACACCTTTATCAATACCCTGAAATAACCTCTGGGATGATCTAGGTTAGGGCATGGCTAACTCACAGATCGAACCTTGAAACAACCTCTGTGCTGATCAAAGTCAGGGCATGGCTAACTCACAGACTGAACCCTGAAACAACCTCTGTGCTGTTCTAAGTCAGGGCATGGCTAACTCACAGACTGAACCCTGAAACAACCTCTGGGCTGATTTAAGTCAGTCAGGGCTAACACAAAAATCAAACCCTGAAACACATTTTTGGACTGACAGGGCAAGTCAGGGCATTGTTACCTTACAAATTAACCCCTGAACTTAGGCTGATCTAAGTCAGGCAATGGCTYGGAGTTAATCAGAATTTACAGCGTTAGGTTTTGCAGAGGGAGGAAAACTTAAGACCCCTTGAATCAAGGGAGAGATCCAAAAACTCTGCTCACATGAGTCCAGCAATCAAACCAGAGAACCTGAGAGGCACATGAATTACCACTATACCAACCCTGATTCCTTAAGCGTTAACAGAATCACTGAATATATCCATGTATTGCAGTGTGTGGCAGTACTTCTGAAGCATGGAGCAGATCCCTTGTCCTTCAGAACAAAGGAAGGTGGCAACTTGCTTCACTTTGCAGTGGAGTGTGCATCACATCTAAAGCAAGACTCATCTGAAGATAAAGACACATCCTTGTGTCTAAGACAGCTTGTGGAACCAATGGCTCTGTACCTGAATGAAACTGATGAAAATGGTAATAGCTTGACTTTAAACAGACAGATTTTTGACAAATRAAACAGCTTTTTCCATGCTCCATTCAGTAGTAAAGCATGCAGGAAGTGAYATGAGCATGAAAGAAGTGTAAAGAGAGACACAAGATGTAGGCAAGTGTTTCTCTCACTTCTTGAGTGCTTTTGGCACTTTCTAAGTTTCCTGCGCAAGTGAGGATGGCCTCACCAACCGTGCTTCATTCATTAATAAAGCACACCATATGATGCCACATRTGATGTATCTATGTCTAGCCAAATCAACCTTCCTCCTATGATTCTAATAGTTTCTGTTTCATTCTCAAGGTTTCACACCTTTGATGTCTGCATGTGCGAATGGCAATGATGATTGTGCATTAGCATTGATCCAAGCAGGTGCAAMAGTCATGACAAAGGTAAGGAAATAATACTCAAGGGCAGACACACGGGAATGGGAGATTGGGTGGTTATAATGAGTAACGTAAAAACTAGAAAAGATACTGCTTTTAGTATATACAGTGTACTGGCGTTTTGGGTAACAGCCCCCCTTGAAATCATTTGGATCCACCAAACCCCTTAGAGAGTAACGTACATGTAAAATCTAAAGAGAAAGCTATACGCGTAGTACTGTATATATATGTAGATACTTGCTTACCTGAAGTATTCGTTTTTTCAAAGCATTCGTTTTTCAACCAGAACTATTTGCTTTTTTCTGATTATTTGAAGGTGTGTTGATCTTGTGATGATCCKAATATCTGTTAATATTATCTAATAGGATAGTTATGGCACTTCACCTCTACACCTTGCAGCTWTGGCTGGAAGCACAGAATGTGTCAATCTGCTGTTGAGGTATGGTCACCAGGTGGACTGCGTCGATRACTGTGGTTGGCCACCTCTTCTGTATGCTAACTTTAAGGCACAAGAGGAGTGTGTGCTTGCTCTGATGAAACCTAAACCAGATCAACTATTCGTGTTGGGACACTTGCTGAAGAAACAGATAAAAGAAGAAGAAAAGAGAAAAACTATGAAAGTAAGAAAAAATATTGCCATCACTTATTCTCTAGCCTGCATGCTACGGCATCAGTTGACAGACATTTGTTAATGTRTCTCATGGAGTATCAAGGTTGATGTAGTAAAGAGGTTGAGAACTCACCTCTCTGATTTTTCTCCCTCTGCAAAACCCAGGCCTGTTGCTAGGGGTGGTTTGATGGTTCGAATGAACCCTCCGTCCCTCCACCTCTGTAGGAGTACGAAATAATGTTTAGCGCTATTTTAGTTGTTCAAGAAATGGCATACCTAAGATTAATAGAAAACCGAACCTCCCCTACCAAGGTCATAGCGATGGGCCTGAAACCTAACCATAACACTTTGGTATTGCTTCTTCAGGTTGTGAAGAATGTCCTCTTCTCGCTAGCCAATCATGATGCATATTACACTGTGTTTAATGATTTTATCCGTGCTAACCCTTTGCTGTTGGATGAATGTGATCATGGCTTACTGCAACACACATGGAGAGGCATATTAGATTTTGATAACAAGCACAAGTGGTTTAAAAGAAGATTAAACTTACTAAGGTAAGAAATGTGGCGTAGTATCGTGAAAGGTACCCGTAAAAACCTGAAAAAAAGCACTGGCCGAACGTGCCTTTTTGATCTTAGAACAATAGAAAAGAATAGAATCACGTTATAAAGGGCAGGCAGGCTRGCTGGCTGACTCGAYGGATGATAGAATTTTWAAGATTAACTCATTCTTTTACTTTAAAGATTTCATACCACTCATATTTTACACCCAGTTTAAAGCTTTTCCCAGTTTTAACATTGATCTCGCTTGCTTCAGGAATGATTCCTACTCCATATGCGGCCCCAGCCTCAGTGTTAAACGTGATGATATACTTGGAAGCACCATGCAGAAGATTGGACATCGACATGGGAAGGAGCTGCGGAGAAGTATGAGTGTTATTTTTGAGGACGAACCTGGTAAGACAACTATTTAGCTCCCAGATGCATGCACACTAGTTATAAAATGGTTTAGTATAYCGTGCAATATACCACGTAGTATCCCATAAGGCAATTTAATTTTTTTAGTGTACGGATGAGCAAATACGATTGAAAAGTATAATATTCCATGGAAAGGACTGTGGAGCATGCCCTAAAAAGTGGTGAGGGGGGGAGGGGGTGGACAGATGGGCGGGTGGCTATATTGGTAAATATAAAAGACTATGGTATACCATAGAAGGCACGGGATAAATCTTTTGTACATAAAATTTTAGTACAAAAGTAAAAAGAAAGTTTTTTTCAGGGCTCTGTAGCCATCACTAGATGTTGTTGATGACCTATACCCCACGAGGGGTCTACAGGCTTAGAAGGAGGAGGATCAACAAATATATGATRTACATATTTAGAAAAATATGCTTGAAGAAACACAAATTCATTATATCATTTTATCGTAGGTATCTGCACTGGTCCAAAGAGAGARTTTTTTGTTTGTCTGTGTAAAGATGTTGTTGATCCTAAACGTGGWCTTTTCGAAATGTCAGATGACTCTCAGTTCAGGTAATTTAGTTTTATTGCTGTTGGAGTGGTGGAGCTATGGAACAAGTACCTGTCTTTAYTCTCTTTTCTCTCCCACGTTATGGTGCTCTCATATTAGGGTTTATAATTCTATTTGTAATTTTTATTATTGCAGCCCTACCCCAAATGCTTATTTTGCAAGCTACGTCAGCAAACAGCCCACAACATTGTTCCACAGTCAGAACAGAGATCAAGATGACACCAAAGTCAGTGAGAAGAAAGAAGAAGACGTTATTCAAAACATTGATATCGAGTGTACAGACTCAGTTCTACTGGCAGCAGATTGTTTGGAAAATAACTCTAATGAAGCCTTGAATGCTAACGAGCAGTATGAATGCACTGATTCTGAACTGGTAACAGCTATGGAAACATCAGTGATGGATAGTGGAATCTGTAGTACAGCTGACTCTCAGACCCAGCCTGATTCTAGGGATGCAGACTCGGCATCTTCTACTGCATCGCTTTCTACAGGTGGAAGTACTATTACGGKTGGCACTCTACCTACTGCTGAAGAGAATACCAACACAGGTAACCCAGAGGAAGAAGAAAGAACATCTTCAGCAAATCCTTCCTACAGTCAGGAGGGTGATGATGCCTCTAAGAGACAAACTGACAACAACACTTGGATTTCTTGCTTGGTAAACCTATTATACGATTTCCTTATGTATGGGTGGGACATCTTTCTTTCTTAATTATTTATATWTTTTGATGTTTACTCTCTTTTAATCTTTTTCATTCATATTTATTTGTCTCTCGTTCTTTCTCTGTGTCTTTGYTCTTCTTTCCATTTCTTGTTTTTCTTTCTACTCGCTTCCTCCCGTTTTTCTTACCTTTTTTTAAATACGGAGTTAATTTTACCTTCCATTACCATTCTTGTACTGCCGTCAATCAACCCTCTTGGTTATACTCACCACTCTTCGCGATTTTCTTTTCTATTTTCCTTATCAGGGGAAGAGTCCCAAGGACATAGTCATCCCCAGCATAGCACTTCGTTCTAAACTGAAGCAACTTCGTCTGATTGGTCGTCTTGTTGGTGCAGCCATTTGTCAAGATATGCTGCTTAACTTGAATCTTTCCAAGCATTTTGTCAAACAGGTACGTTCTATTGTACCCTTTGATACTTCAGTTTTCTTCTGTAGGGGTCGTGCAGATATTGGCTCCTTGTAGGCTATGAGAAGACTAGCGGATACAGTAGATAGTATGCCAGATGTTTCTTTAATAATCGGATAAGCGATAAGCTTTGCCTAAATCCGTCAAAAATTTTTTTGCCATAAACATTTCTCGCAAAAGGTGCAGTGTTTGCTCGAGCCTTAATTGGTCAGGTCATTTAAAATTACATCAACATCGTTGACATTGTTATTGTTGCCAGGTTCTTGGGATCCCTTTATCTCATCCTGATGACCTCAGCTCATTTGACTATCAGCTTCACGAGAACATGGTCACGTGGGTACAAGAGAATAGCGTGGATAACCTTGACCTTCCCTTTGGTGTTGATGTTAAGAATCCATGGACGAACYGGCTTGTGTCGGTCAACTTCTCTGACGACGAAGACAAGACTGTTGATGACTCGAATAAGGTACATGTTTAGCATCATTATACTACTGCCGATTGAACATCTTGTTATTTCAAAACAAAACACTGCATAGCGTTAGTTGGGATTCACAAACATTAGCATCGTGTGCATAGCCGGATACCTTATAATTTCGTTCCTTTATACTTTATTTATTTCATTTTGTCAGCACCTTGGCTAAAGTGATCTTCAGGGAATCTGGCAAACCAAAACGTGTTGCGCATGCGCCATGCTCATTAGGGATTATTATGCTTGATGCGCATGCCCGGCCTTGTCCATTAGAAATTACTAAGTTGGAAGTGCATGTGCTTTGCTCCTTACATTTTGATATTTATTGCTTCCAATCAAGACGATTGTGGTTACATTCTATTTAACGTCTTTTACTCATTCTTCATCTATTTTTTATGTCCCTTTTTCCATTTAGCAAGATTATGTAAAGCTGGTTTCACAGTACAAATTACAAACGTTTATTGAAAAAGAGGTTGAGGAATTCAACATTGGTCTCCACGAGGTAGGAATCTAGTTTTCGTTTAMCAGTAATCATTGTTTTGGTTGTCATTGGTTACGCTCATTTTGGTCTGCTATAAGAATGGAAGCAGTGCTGATGAATTCAACTTCCGTATTAGTCTGATTACAACAGTGGAAATCCACCAAAGTTATCAATCCGAACAAGTGAAAAGCTAGATCTGAGAAAGAGAAAGAGGAGAGACTCTGCTCACAGGGGATTTTTCTTTTTACTTTTTGTTATCTATTTCAGTATAACTGTATGTATTATTTTAAGGTCATTCCWCGCGAGTTGCTGTCTTTGTTTACTGCTGATGAATTTTCTCTCCTGATGAACGGTGTGACGAAGATTGATGTGAAGGATTGGAAGGAAAATACGCAAGTAAGTGATATTAATTTTGCAGCAAACCTTTGTAACCTTTGTTCACCTGCTATGGCCCTGACAAAAGATTTTCAACATT